GACATAGGCGACGAGTAAAATCTAGTTGCTGCCGTCGGTTAGTAGAGACATCCCCTGATCATGCGGTAGTTGACGAAAACCGGCAGTGAGTAGCTGTGAATGTAGATACTGCTGCCAAAGCCGGGGCGTCTGTTTAATGTCGTAAAGGGACTTTCTGAGACGGCATACGCTCAGTGGGTTAGTCGTATACGAATGTGGATACTCTACCAGAATGAGTGCGGCGACGGGTGCATAGAGAAAAGCGTTTGCCACATCGATTTGGCGAAGTCGTAGATTGCGGCAGGCGACAATGTAAAGTAGAATGCGGACACTTGTATGTCGACCAAAGGGGGCGAAGGTAAGTTCGTAGTCGAGGCCGAAAGTCTGCTCGAACCCGCGGACGACCCATCGCGCCTTGAATTTCTCAAACGACCCATCTGCATTAGTCTTGACACGGAAGACCCACTTTCCGGTAAGTACCTTTCTCCCTTTTACTTCTGATGTCGGTATTGACTCCCATGTGCCGCGACTCTTGAGAGCTGCTAGCTCTCTGTCCATGGCTCCATGCCATTTTTCTCGGTGAGGACTCGTAAGAGCTTGTCGAACGGTTTTCGGTTCAGGTATTTTACTTTCGTTGTACTGTACTGCTACTGTGAATCCAAGAATTTGTAAGCCAGTTTCTGTAAAACGCGGACGTTCTCCGTTTGCACCTGCGAAATATTCTTCTGGCCCTTCTTCCCCCCCAATTTTGTCAGGTGTAACACGGACTGCTTCGTCGGAGACGGCGGGCATCAGCTGCTGTTGGCGATCGCGTTCGTAACTGAGATGGACTTCGCAAACGTCATCCGGGTCAGCATCTGCGAGGGGAATAAATTCTGGTATGCCAGTCAACGTTACAGAATCGGGTATATCTGTTACTGCAGCTTTAGAGGCTTCGAAAACTGCTTCGTCCTGTACATTAGCTTCGGCTTCGTCAGTTGCAAATGCACGCGGGCCTTCGAACAGCCTGGCGGGGTTGGCAGCTGCTGCCTGGTGGGCACGAAAAACTGACAAGGTGAGTCTTTCATAGAAGAGACAATCACGTGGAGGGACGATTTGGTTTGAGTGAAGATCCAAAATCTTCCATGCGTGATACTGTTTTTCGATGCCGAGGTATACCCCTCATTTTGCTCGTTCTGAAAATTTGCGGAGTGCTGCAGTAGGAGGTCGAAACTGCACGACACACCCAAAAACTCGTAAAAGTTTTGTACTTCCCACTGTACGTGTCCATTGCAGGTGTGGTGAAGAAAACTCGGACAGTGACGTGGAAGAAAGCAGGTTGTGTAACGGCACAGCGTGGTCCATCCCATATGGCCAAAAATGAGGAGGAAGGGCTGCCTGTGTCAACAGGGCACGCATCTTCTCCTGCAGAGTTCGATTCATCCGTTCTGCTACCCCCATCTGTTGGTGTGCATGTGGCACCGACTGCTTCCGTTTGATGCCGAGGGTTTGGAGGTAGTCTGTGAAAGCGTTGCTGGTGTATTCCCCTGCACCATCACTCTGGAATTCTTTAAGTTTCACGCCAGACTCTCTTTCAGCGAGGGCGAGCCATGCGATGAAGGCCGGATGGGCGAGCTATCGAGCAGGAAGGTTGGCTGTCCAAACGTATCGAGTAGATGCTTCAATAAAGGTAATCACATACTGCTCCTCTTTAGGTCCGGCTTCAGGTAAGTTAAGAATATCGCTGTAGACTTTCTACATCAGTCGATAATGAGTTGAGCCAGGAAAGTGACTCGGAAACGGGTCTTGGGTAAGATTGGCGATTGGACACGTGGTGCAAACCGTCGGGCGAGACTGTGGTTTCATCTCCGTGCCGTCAGGTAAGAGAAGACTGTTTTAATCAAGAACGGCTGCTCATATTGAATGATTTAGAATCCCTTGCGATGGATGTCCTAACCGTTGATGCCAAATGTCTTCTGTGGCTTTGTGTCTAGATGATCGCAGATAAAAATCGGCGTTAGTATAAAACGAAGAAATGATGAAAGGAGAAAGGGCTGGAGACATGTCAATCTCCCCTTGAACGAAACGGGTAAGTGGTAACTTGACTTTTGATGGTTCAGCTGCAGTTGCAATTGCAACATCTGATACTGCTTCTGTTGATGTGGTGGCGGGTGGTCCTGCGACAGCTACTGTGGGATTCGGTTGCTCGGTGACTTCTTCTTTTGTGACATCTTCGACATCGAGCTCATCAGCTGCAAGTCCACTGATTTCTCCCCAAAGTGGAGCTGGAGTTCCTTGAAAAGCGGCACGTGTGGTATAAAACGTGCGCCAAGCGTTGGCGCTTTCATCGGCGGTATTGAACTCCCAAGTATCCAGTGCGTTAAGTATGGCAGTTGCAGTTCGAGAAGCCGTTGGCACCGTAGTTGCCCGAAAATCAATATCCACGTGTTGATAATCTATTTCGTCTGGGTGATCTCAGGGACCAAGTGCAAGGACGCGTTCAGAATCACCAGAGGTGCCCTGTGCCGTGAACTGAAGAACTGATACTCCATGTTGAGTAGCAGCACGACCAAGGTAAGTATTTGTTAAACTGTGCCATAACTCCTGATCCATTGTATCACAGATCCCTTGTGTGCGAATTTTGTATGCTAGGAGCTGAGCTGTGGAGAGAAGATTGAAACCAAGGCTGGCGACGATAAGAACGTTGGTAGCGTATAAGGAATATCCCGTGTCGACGGACTTGAGCATTACACTCCCGATGGATCTTGCAATAATAGTTTGTTCGTTTGCGACTGTGACAGGGTATCGGACGACGAAGTGGACGCTGATTGGTGATGAAGCTTGTTTCAGCGGAGCACATGTGCCAACCGCAACAGCTGTCGAGATACCAAGTATTGGGTTTTGAAATGACTCGAGCAAGGTTAGCGTAAACTTGCGGTAAGGGAATACCCTCTGCATTGGTGTTTTCTTCAAGTTATGTCTCGAAGTTTGTTTCTGAAACATCAACTGTCGTAACACATCCAAAAACCCCTTTCCCTGATGCTGCAGATGGAAAAACCGGAGGACGAAGCTGTGACGGAGGTGGATTCTACGGTGGTTTCTGCATCTGCTGCGTCTGAGACGTCGACTGCTGCGTTGGGTGATGTAACTTCGGTAACTGCTGCGAACGATGATATGGCTGTGAAGTACTGCGTCGGTTTTGATGGCGACTGCGGCAAGTTTGGTAAGTATGTCCTGGTTTCTTGCAGAAATGGCAGAAGGGATATTTCAGGGGAAGTCGTTGCTGCGGTTCTGGATTTGAGTAAAAACTTAAATGTATCCCCTTCTTCTGATTGCGTTGTGACTGCAGGTCAAGATCTTGCTCTTCTGCTTAAAGATATGAGGAAATCTCGGCTTCGGAAAGATTCGGGTTCATGCGCAGGAAGGAGCGCGTCTGTCACCACTCGGGACCTAGTCCAGCAAGAAGGACCGTGAGATACATCTCACGAGGGAAGTATCCACCAGTCTTCTCCAGTTGATTCCGTATTGTGTGGACACGGTTGAGGTAATCCATGACATTCTCGTTTGTCATCATCTGCACATTTGTCAGCTGCGAAAGAATCTTACTCACTATGATTGTATCCTTTGCCATGTACACCCCCTTCAAGTGGTTCCATGCAGTTTCAGCCGGCGTAAAGCTTGAATGAAATGATCGTACGCCGAGCTGCTCCTTTGGTGATAAGTTTCGAACAAGAACGGTATTCCCCCCGAGAGAGGCGTGCAAGAAACTCTGCTGCTCCAGTTGTGTTCCCGTAACAGGATATGTGAATTCGCCGGTGAAGAACGGCCAAAGCCCGGCAGACTGCGCCAGAAGTTCAAACTCGAAGCTCCAGGACTAAAAATCAACTCCGTTAAAATGTATAGTGGTCTTGATCTGTGTGTTGTTAAGTAAATTCGGTGGTTCAAAAATAATACCCTGTTGTTGAGGCTGTGGCTGTTGTTGTTGTTGCTGAAACTGCTCTGGCTGTTGCTGCTGTTGCTGTTGTTGCTGATGTTGCTGAGCAGGTGAATGCCCGAAGATTTAAAAGGGGTGCTGCTGCTGAGACTGCGGCTGTTGCGTAAAATGGGAGAATGCAAATGAGCCAGTACTTGGAGCTGAAGCTCCACGCATATAACTTGAGCTGTCAAGGCTCATTCCAGTAAATGCTGACGATATTGACTGAGTTGAAAACTGTGGTTGTGCTGTTGTCTGATATTGTGGTGTTGTCTTTGCTTGTTGTTGTTGTGCTGCAGGTGCAGTCAATGAAACCCCTGGAGTACTGATAGAAGGCGGATTCTGCTGCTGCTGCATACCGATGTGCGCATAAGCAGGTGGAAACGGTCCAGAGGCTGAGAGACCAGTGGCGGTCGTGGAGACAGGTACTCCCATAGTTCCGGAACTTGATCCGGTAGATTGTGCTGGTGATGATCCAGTCATTGTTGACAGTAGTCTTAATTCCAGACAGCTCTCATACCATGTAATAATTTGACAGGTGTTGCAGGAGACTAAGTATAAAATCTGCAAACACGAACACTTGGAAAACCTCAAGTGTTAGCCTAGGATCTTTACTAGAATGGTGGACTATTAAGACAGCAGAAGTCTTGTAAAAATATGATCATCAAGTTTGAATAACCTGAGCTCATGAACTTGTGGGTAATCAAAAGTTAATAATGGAAAGGCATAACAAGGTTTTATAGCTCTAGGAAAATACTTGTTCGCTAATGTATCTGTTCGTCACTATCGCGCTATGCGCCCTAAATGATAATGAAGAGATGCGACTGTTCGCGTGACTGAAACGACTGTCCTCATGACGAGCGCTATTTGCTGACGTCATCCTACGGAGTTATCTTCTACAGTAGGATTCGACACTATCTATCGATAATCGACTTACAGAAATGCTAAGTATGAATTTTATGTCAACACTAGAGTCATGTAGTAACGAGTTGGTGACATCTTTCTCAGTCAATGGTTCTTTCCGAATCTAGGGGTATTTCAGGCCATCATGACCACCCAATTCTCGCCTACCATTCCCGTCGGTGTCTTTCAGCATCTCAACCCGACAAGCCCACCAGTCCTGCGACCGCGTCGTCACCGCGCCACTGCGTTTTTCAGCCTCTAAGCCTCTGCAGTGCACCGCGGGTCGCAGGCTCACGTAGTAAAACGAATCTGTACCGTCAGGGGGAAACAATTCTGCGAGTGCGGGGATCTGAGCAATTCGGCGAGAGCGAAAGGACAGATCAGTTTGGCACACCGAGGAAGCACCGCGTGCTGCGCGTGCGATCGAGATTCGCAAACTTAGCTTTTGCTCGCTCCCTCTGCCTGGGATCAGCCGCTCGATCCGTAAATTCCACTGATTTCTAGACTCCAAAATGAGCAATAATTCCACGGCTAACGCTGGCAGCGTGGCCGCCGCTGCCGCCGCCGCCGGCGCTGGCGGCGCGGGCGGCGCGGCGAGCGTGGAGGAGGAGGTGGCGGGGCTGGACCGGCTGCTGACGCGGCTGGCGCTGACGGACGACGCGAAGCTCGAGAAGGTGCTCTCGAAGCTGCTGCCGCTCGCGCTCTCGCGCCTCGCGTCGCCGCACGACGCGGCGAGGAAAAAGGTGAGAGGGAGAGGAAGAACGGGATGGGCGGGATGGGTGGGATGGGCGGGATGTGAGGGAGGGGAGGTTGAGCTGGCGTGGGGGAGATGGTGAGACGCGGCGTAGATTTGGGGGTGATGGAAGGTGATTGACTGGAGGGAATCACAGACGGTTGTAGGAGCTAAGGAATGGTGAACTGGGAGCCTTGTGGTTTGTGCATACTAGGTGGTTGCTGGGAAGACGATTGGATCTTGCAGGCGAGATAGGAAACCTTCTCAGCATATCAGATCGGATCAGGTCACTTCAGACCACATTTTTTCCTCGCACCTCGCCTCTTACTCCTTCCCCTCGGTCCTCTGCATCTCTTGTCGTTTCCTCTCCCGTCTCTGCCTTCATCTGGTGGAGTGAAGCATCTCAGATTCACCTACTTTGCCTCTTATACTTCCACTTCCCGTCTTCCTCCGCCTCTTCCCCCCTCTCTTCCGCTGCCTTCTTCTCCTGTAACCTCATCACCCCCCTCGTCCCCTCACCCTCCCTTTTCCTCTACCTCTCCTTCCCCTTCGTTCCACCTCCCCGTGACCCACCTGTTTGCACCCAACCCACCGCACTCCACCTCACTGCACCCTCTGGCACCACACCAATAGGTGATGGAGATGCTGGCGCACATCAACAAGCGCGTGCGCGGGGCGTCCTCCATCCACCTGCCGCTGTCCGACCTCCTTGCCCTCTACTGCTCCGCCACAGGCACACCCATCAACCCGCCCACTGCCACACCCGCTTCTGCCACTCCCTCTGCCCCCTCCGCCACTGCCCCACTCGCCACTGCCCCACCCGCCACTGCCCCACCCTCCTCTTCCACCCCCACCGCTGCTCCCACCCCCCCACTTCCCTCACCGCACCCCCTGACCGCAAGCTTCGCCCTAGTGTACACAGACATGGCGTTCCAGCGCGCCTCTCCCACGCAGCAGGCGGCAGCCGTGCCCGTGCTGCTGCGGGGCATTGCTGGGCGCCCCGCAGCGCACCAGGACATGCTACTGCGGTGCGCGCTGCAGGGCCTGCTGCAGTATGGGTCGCCACGGGGGGTGGGGTCGGGGCCCGAGGAGCAGCAGCTCGCTGCCACGTACTCCTGGCTCGTTCCCTCAAGCCCTGCTGCTGCTGCTGGTGCTGCTGCTGCTGGTGGTGCTGCCGCTGGATCCTCTGGGGCTGCTACTGGTGGTGCTGGTGCAGGAGCAGGCTCTGCTGCAGAGGCAGGGGAGGCGAGGGACAAGGCGGAAGCAGCAGATGGAGCAGGCACAGGGTTGGGGGCAGGGGCAGTGGCATCAGGGAAAGCTGCTGCTGCTCCTAGTGCAGACCTGGCAGTGTGGCTGGAGTTCTGCAAGCAGGTGATGCTGCTGCCGGCCTCACTCTCTGCTGCTGCTGCTGCCGTCACTGCAGGGGCGGCGCAGGGACAGGGGGGAGCAGCAGCAGCGGTGGTGGCAGCAGGGGCGGGAGGTTTGGGGTCAGCGTTGAATGCTGCAGGGCAGCAGGGGGGGCCGACACAGTGAGTGTGTGTGGGGGGAAAAAGGGGAGGGTATGGTATCAGTGAAAGGGGGGGAAGGAGTGGGGAAGTGGATACTTGGTGGTTGGGTTGTGGTAAGGAGTTGGGCGTTTGGCCGTGCCTTTGCAGCTGTTCTTCGCTCGTCATCATGCCCCATTCATCCCCTCCTCTCCTTTTACCCCATCACACCGTTCCGAGCTCCCATGACTACCATCTGTCTATTGCCTCTCTTTTCCATCCGTTATATTGCCTCCTTTCCCCTTTGGAGTGTAGACGATTTCCATCTGTGTACCTATTTCTTAACTCCCAACTCCAACGTCCCCCTATTTGCACATTAAAGCGCCTCCTAAAACACCTCCCACCTTCCACCTCCCACCTCCAGCACCCTGTCCCTGTGGTTGCAGGTGGAATCTTGGCACCCTTCAGAAAAGAGAAAAGTGCAGCCTGCCCTGCCCAGCCCATCTTCCCTTCTACGCATCTCCCCATCTCCCCATCTCCCCATCTCCCCATCTCCCCATCTCCCCATCTCCCCATCTCCCCATCTCCCCATCTCCCCATCTCCGCATCTCCCCATCTCCCCATCTCCGCATCTCCCCATCTCCCCCTCTCCCCATCTCCCCATCTCCCCATCTCCCCATCTCCCCATCTCCCCATCTCCCCGTCTCCCCATCTCCCATCTCCCCATCTCCCCATCTCCCCATCTCCCCATCTCCCCATCTCCCCATCTCCCATCTCCCCCCCCCCCTCTCCCCATCTCCCCATCTCCCCCATCTCCCATCTCCCCTCTCCCCGTCTCCCCATCTCCCCTCTCCCCATCTCCCTCTCCCCATCTCCCCATCTCCCCATCTCCCCATCTCCCCATCTCCCCATCTCCCGTCTCCCCATCTCCCCATCTCCCCATCTCCCATCTCCCCATCTCCCCATCTCCCCATCTCCCCATCTCCCCATCTCCCCATCTCCCCATCTCCCCATCTCCCCATCTCCCCATCTCCCCATCTCCCCATCTCCCATCTCCCCATCTCCCCATCTCCCCATCTCCCCATCTCCCCATCTCCCCATCTCCCCGTCTCCCCATCTCCCCATCTCATTCCCCATCTCCCCATCTCCCCATCTCCCCGTCTCCCCATCTCCCCATCTCCCCATCTCCCCATCTCCCCATCTCCCCATCTCCCCATCTCCCCATCTCCCCATCTCCCCATCTCCCCATCTCCCCTCCCCCATCTCCCCGTCTCCCATCTCCCCATCTCCCCATCTCCCCATCTCCCCATCTCCCCGTCTCCCCATCTCCCCATCTCCCCGTCTCCCCATCTCCCCATCTCCCCATCTCCCCATCTCCCCATCTCCCCCCATCTCCCCCATCTCCCCATCTCCCCATCTCCCCATCTCCCGTCTCCCCATCTCCCCATCTCCCCATCTCCCCATCTCCCCTCTCCCCATCTCCCCATCTCCCCATCTCCCCTCTCCCATCTCCCCATCTCCCCATCTCCCCATCTCCCCTCTCCCCATCTCCCCATCTCCCCATCTCCCCATCTCCCCATCTCCCCATCTCCCCATCTCCCCCCGTCTCCCCATCTCCCCATCTCCCCATCTCCCCATCTCCCCATCTCCCCATCTCCCCCATCTCCCCATCTCCCCATCTCCCCATCTCCCTCTCCCCATCTCCCATCTCCCCATCTCCCCATCTCCCCGTCTCCCCATCTCCCCATCTCCCCATCTCCCCTCTCCCCGTCTCCCCATCTCCCCATCTCCCCATCTCCCCCTCTCCCCATCTCCCATCTCCCATCTCCCCATCTCCCCGTCTCCCCATCTCCCCATCTCCCCATCTCCCCATCTCCCCATCTCCCCATCTCCCCATCTCCCCATCTCCCCATCTCCCCATCTCCCCATCTCCCATCTCCCCATCTCCCCATCTCCCCATCTCCCCCTCTCCCCGTCTCCCCATCTCCCCATCTCCCCATCTCCCCATCTCCCCATCTCCCCGTCTCCCCATCTCCCCATCTCCCCATCTCCCCATCTCCCCATCTCCCCATCTCCCCATCTCCCCTCTCCCCATCTCCCCATCTCCCCCTCTCCCCGTCTCCCCATCTCCCCATCTCCCCATCTCCCCCTCTCCCCCCGTCTCCCCATCTCCCCATCTCCCCATCTCCCCTCTCCCCCATCTCCCCATCTCCCCATCTCCCCATCTCCCCATCTCCCCATCTCCCCATCTCCCCATCTCCCCATCTCCCCATCTCCCCATCTCCCCATCTCCCCATCTCCCCATCTCCCCATCTCCCCATCTCCCCATCTCCCCGTCTCCCCATCTCCCCATCTCCCCGTCTCCCCATCTCCCCATCTCCCCATCTCCCCATCTCCCCATCTCCCCGTCTCCCCATCTCCCCATCTCCCCATCTCCCCATCTCCCCATCTCCCCATCTCCCGTCTCCCCGTCTCCCCATCTCCCCATCTCCCCATCTCCCCATCTCCCCATCTCCCCATCTCCCCATCTCCCCATCTCCCCATCTCCCCATCTCCCCGTCTCCTTATACCCCCACTTCCCCATCCTGCCCTCCATCCTCCCTGCAGGCCCCCTCTCTCCGACCATCCGGGCCTCTCCCTCGATCAGTTGCACCTCATGCTTGCCCCCGCCCCTTTCATCTACATCTCCCCACCTCCATATCCCCCTTCTTTCCCCTCCCCCTGCCATGCGCCACCCAGGCCCCCTCTCTCCGACCACCCGGGCCTCTCCCTCAACCAGCTGCACCGCGTGCTTGGCCCCGCGCCCTCCTCCACCTCATCCCCTGCGCCCTCCGCCTCCTCGCCTGCTGCGCTCAATGTCATCCCGCCTGAGGCTGTGGCACAGAGGAAGGTGCGCACAGGCTTGTCTTTTGGGCAGCATCAGGCTGCTTCCTTGGGGCAGCAGCAGGCTGCTTCGTTCTTGGTTTGTCTGTTGTCCTTCAAGAAGCTTCTTTCTAGCTGACGTGTGACCAGGTGAAGGAGTGTGCGTACTAGCCCTTTCATGTGTGGGGAGATGGGTCAAGGGAGAGCAAGTGAGTAGACTCGGTGCTGAGGGTGCAAGGAGGTGCGGTTGGCCGGGGGCAGTGCACTGGGGGTGGGTGGATTCACGCACCAGGGATGGGTGAAAGTGGACCCTCAAATCTCCCTCTCTTACACTTCTTTCTTTCCTCCTCCACAACCCTCTCCGGGATATCTCCCTTGGCCCTAATTTCCTCCTCTCCCTTCTCTCCCTCCTCTCCCTTCTCTCCCTCCTCTCCCTCTTTCCCTCCTCTCCCTCCTTCCCTCCTCTCCCTCCATCACTCCGCTCTCATCTCCCCCCTCTCGCTTCCCTCCCTCCTGCACGCCACCCCAGGTGGCGGTGCTTAACTTCCTCGCAGCCATCAAGACGCCCTCCCACGCCTGCTACCTGCTCTGGCTTGTTGCCGCGACTGACAGGTGAGGGGCAGGGGTAGGGAGAGATGGATGGGTGGGACCAAGGTGTGGTGTGGGTGGAGAGAGGTGGCGTTTGTACGTCAAACCCTGATTTGACACAAGAAATCACGTCCACATAGGGGAGTGTCTTATGGAGCACTTGTTATTCTCCCTATCCCTTTTACCAGCCCTCACAGATGTATCGTACCCTCATCGCTAGGCTTGAGCAACGGGTCGGGTCGGGTTGGGTAACCCGACCCGAACCCGACTTTTTGACGGGTTGGGTCGACATTTGCGGAGGGTCGACCCGACCCTCGGGTACCCGACCCGACCCGACCCGACCCGACCGACAAAACCCGACCCGTCGGGTCGGCGTATTACCCGCCCCTGCCCCTATGCCAACCCGACCCGACCCGACCCGAAATCGGGTCAGGTAGTACCCGACCTATTAAACCCGGGTTGGGTTGACATTTCCTGAGCTCCGACCCGACTTGACCCGACCCGACCCGACCCGAACCCGACATCGGGTAGGGCAAAGTCGGGTCGGGTCGGGTCGGGTCGGGTCGGGTCGGGTTCATGCTCAAGCCTACTCATCGCTCTTTCCATTTCTCGGCTCCTCAAAAACGCGTTTCCCCTTTGTTGGCCCAACCAGCCGGCCCCCCCTTTGGTCAGCAACGAGCACCAGCAGCGCGGTGAGGAGCTGGTGCCTTAACTTTTGAGGCCCCTGAAAACTCTCGACCCCCCTGTTTTTTTCCCAACCCCACGTGGTTCCCCTGTGGTCAGCAACGAGCGTGTGAACCGGCGGGGGGAGGAGCTGATGAAGCGGCATGGGGGGGCGGTGGACCTAGAGGACGACCGGCTCGTGGCCGCCATGATGAAGCTCTACCAAGGTGAGGCTGCACCAAGGTGAAGAGACCATTGCGAAGAGCTTTCCGTAGTGTAAGTAAATCGTGCTGCTGTGAAGCGATCGCCGCACAATGCGAAGAGCTTCTTGTGAAGAGATCATAGCTCATTCCGGAGGCTGGTCGTGCTGCTCACTCACCCCCCTTGCTTCCATCCATCCATACACCCCTGTTTCTTTCCACGTCGTCCCATATCAGCATGCCTCCTCCTGCCCTGTAAACTCGCTGCCCGCAGCGCTCACTACATTGCTCATTCCACTTGCATATTCCCCCTGTTCGCATCCGCCTTCTCACAGTCTGCGTCCACAGCACCACAACCAGCAGCAGGCTAGCAGCCTTTTTTGCACTGCTCTTTCACGTTACGCGCACACACCTACTCCTCTATGTTCAGTCACTCACGCGAACCATGGTGCCTATCCTCCTCCCCCTCCCCTCTTCACCACTCCCCTGCCATCCGTCTTCCACTCCCCCCCCCCCTTGATCCGACCTCTCCACGGCACCCCTCTGTATTTCCCCTACCTTCATCCCCCCGCTGACCCTACCACTAGGCTCACCCCCCTCCGACCTGAAGCAGCCCCTATCAGCAGCAGCAGCAGCGGCAGTGGTGCCGGCAGCATCAGCAGCAGTGAAGCTGCGGCTGGTGGGGGCGTTTGTGCGCTCCATTGCTGCTGCCAACGCGTTCCCGGGCACGCTGCATGTCATATTCGACGCCATCTATGGTACTGTGGGGGTGTGACTCTTGACCTGAGCCTGCTTGTGCGTCAATTTCGCTGTGTCCCCATACTTGTTGATCCCGCAAGGCTGCCAGCTTGTCTTCCCCCACTCTGATCGTGTCTTATCTTGTTTCCCATGCCTGTGCCTGTGCCTGTGCCTGTGCTTGTGTGGGTGTGGCAGGAGCGGCAGCTTCTACTCGCAGCAAGCAGCTGGGCATGGAGTTTGCCGTCTGGGTCTTCAAGCATGTGCGTGCTCTTGCTTCTTGCTGATGCTGCTGCTGCTGCTGCTGATGCTGCTGCTGCTGCTGCTGCTGCTGCTGCTGCTGCTTGCCCAATGCGTGCTCGCAGGCTGCTTCTCCTGCGGGCCTAAACGTGCATGCCCCTCACCCTACGATGCATGCTTCTCGCCCTGCAAGTGCATGCTTCTCGCCCTGCAAGTGCATGCTGCTCGCCCTGCAAGTGCATGCTTCTCGCCCTGCAAGTGCATGCTGCTCGCCCTGCAAGTGCATGCTGCTCGCCCTGCAAGTGCATGCTGCTCGCCCTGCAAGTGCATGCTGCTCGCCCTGCATGCAATGCATGCATCTCTTTCTCCCTCTCCTCCCTGCGTGTGTCGGCTCCCTTTCCCTGCTTGCCCCCCTGTTCGTCTGCCTCTCCCCAGGCCAAGGAGGAGCGTCTGCGGCCCTTGTCGCCAGTCATCCTCTCGTCCCTGCTCAAGCTGCTCTCTCACTACGATGCTGCTGAGTCGCTGGGTGAGTGTGTGTGGGGGAGGGGGGTGGGGAGGTGGGAGGGGGGGGAGGTACTAGGGAATGGAGAGAGATATGGGGAAAGGTGGTAGGGGAGGTGAGGAAAGGATTGGGAAAAGGATGAGGTTTGATAGCAGTGGAATGTATTTGTGCTGCGTGCCTTGTGCCCCTCCGTTCCTGACCCCACTGTCTGTTGCTGCTTACCACTCCCCTCTCCCACTCCCCTCTTGCACTCCCCTCTCCCATTCCCCCCCTCCCGCTCCCCTCTTCCACTCCCCTCTCCCACTCCCCTCTCACACTCCCCTCTCGCACTCCCCTCTCCCTCTCCCACTCCCCTCTCCCACTCCCCTCTCCTCTCCCACCTCGATATTTGCAGACCCCCCATCGCAGCAGCTGCAGGCATTCACGTATCGGGCCATCGCACAACTGGCAGAGAGATGTCCTTTCCTTGTCAGGTCTGTCGCCCACCCGCTTCCTTCCAAATCACACCCCCCCTCTCCCCCCTCCCTCCCATTTCCCCTCTCCCCCCTCCCTCCCATTTCCGCTCTCCCCCCTCCCTCCCATTTCCCCTCTCCCCCCTCCCTCCCATTTCCCCTCTCCCCCCTCCCTCCCATTTCCCCTCTCCCCCCTCCCTCCCATTTCCCCTCTCCCCCTTCCCTCCTCTCTCGCCTCTCCCCCTCCGTTCCCCCCCACTCCGTTCCCCCCCCTCCGTTCCCCCCCCTCCGTTTCCCCCACCTCCGTTCCCCCCACTCCGTCCCCCCCCCTCCCTTCCTCCACCCTTTCCCCTGGTCTTGTTCTTATTCCACTCGACCCCGTCTCTCCCCCCTGACAGGTCACCACCTCGTTTGAAAGGTTGCTGCTGATCAGGTGTATCAGGCACTGCCGTTGCTCCATTGCTTGCTTCCCTTCTGGCTCTACCCAGTGACATGCCTTTGGCAGTGCGGCAATGTGTCTAATTCCCCACATGGTGTGTGCAACATGATCTGACATCACCGGACATGACTGGCATGACCTGACATGGCATGGCATGGCAGGGGGGATGCGACCATGTGTGAGCGCATGTTTGGGGCGTTGGAGGCGTGTGACTCATCGTCCCTGCGTGTCGTCATGCAGGATGCACTGCTCTCCCTCGCCACCGCCTACAAGGTAGGGTAGGGCCTGCCTCTCAGATGGTAATCCCGCCACCGCTTACAAGGTAAGGCATGGCTTTGGTTTGGGGGGCGGTTTCAGAGAGTCGAAGAAAAAGGCTCGCCACGCCTACAACAAGGCATGGCTTGGCTGTGGAGCAGCTTGAACTGCCACTGCTCACCAGGTTTTGTGGTATGCTTCTGAGGTGCCGCCGCTGTTTCTTTCATGCAAACAGGACTTAGGGAGCAAAGGAAGGAGTGAAGTGAATCAGGCATGTACGGTACGGCCGAACTCACACGCCTCTCCCCAATGGTTCCCTGAAGAGGCAAAGAAAGATGTGGCCTAAGCCGAGTTGGAATTCATGCGCAGTTGTGCATCTGCTCCTCCCTTCCCTCTCTCGTCCCTGGCCCTTGGATGTGCTGCTTCCCCCCCCCCTCCCCTTTCCCCCCTTTCCCCTTTCCCCCCTTCCCCCCGTCCCCTGTTTCCCCCCAGGGCTGCACGCCCAAGGTGCTGTCGGCCATAGAGAAGCTGCTGCTCACGCACTGCTCCTCCGTGAGTTCATTCGTTGCCGTGTCATGCTGTGCCTCCATGTGCCATGTGCCATGTATGCCATCTGCCATGTATGCCATGTGCCATGTATGCCATGTGCCATGTATGCCATGTGCCATGTATGCCATGTGCCATGTATGCCACACGCCAGTTGTGCCCGTTGTGCCTGCCAACCCTTGCCTTATGCCCATTGTGCCGGTTGCGACCACTGGAACGGTTAGCCCATTTCTAAATTCCCGTCACTACTACTGGTCCACAAGAACTCACCAACCGATACAGGCAGCACGCCACCCATCCCACTCAGCCCACTCCATCGCTATGCGCCCGAGTCAATTCCACTCAAAACTGCTACATTCCACTCAACCCCCACTCCACTCCACCCCTCCAGCCAGTAGAAGCGGCTCGCTACTGTGCATTGCAGTGGACCATTCGCCTGCTCTCACTCTCCTCCCCACCCGCCTGCTTCCTCGCTCTGCTGGCTGCCGCTGACTCCAAGACAGAGATCAAGTGAGTGCTCTCCACTCACCCCCTTGCACTCTCGCCTTTTCGCTTACTATCTTTGATATGTCTGAACCAGAGATCTCTCATACTCACTCACCACCGTACCCCTCAAACGACCCATCCTACCTATCCCCATTCCCATCCCAATCCACCCATCCCCATCCCCATGCCCATCCCCCAGGGAGGCCGCCCATCGCTTCCTCTTTCCTGAAGCTGACTCACGCAGCAAGAAGCCCTCCCCCTCCGCCTCCTCTCCCTCACCCCTCTCCACTCCCTCCGCGGCTTTCACCACAACCTCCTCCTCCTCTGCCGCTTCCTCCCCTCCTCCCCCGCTCTCATCCCTCCTGGCGTTCATCTGCAAGCAGAAGCCCAAGGCAGCAGCGCCCGTGCCCGTGGAAGGGGAGCAGTCGCTGCTGCTGCCCCCTGCCGCCTTCCTCTCTGCCATTCGCTTCCTGCTGCTGTGCTGGCGCGAGGAGAGACGTGGGCGAGGAAAGGGGCAGGAGGGACAGGAGGGAGGGACGGGGGTTGGAGTAGCAGGGATGGAGGGAGGAGGGGAGGGTGGGAGTGGTGGTGAAGCGGAGAAGGCCAAGGGGAAAGAAAAGGAGATAGCAGAGGAGAAAGCAGAAGGGGGATTGGAGGGCGGAGCGGAGGTGGGGAGTGTGGAGGAGCGGCTGTGCGTGTTTGTGGAGCACGGGTTCGCACGGGACGGCACGTGGGAGGTGCATGCTGAGGCCGGCAGGGCGCTGCTGGAGATAGTGGCCGCTCAGCCACAGGTGAGGGGGGGGGAGGGTAGAGAGGGGGCGGATGTTATGGGAGGGGCGATGGTGTAGGGGAGGGTGACAGAGTGGAGGTGAGGGTGGCAGAGTGGCATTGTGATGTAGGTGGTTGCGTGGCAGTGCTGCTTAGACAGGCCACCCACAGCATGCGTGTGTCATCAGTTTCGGTGGAAGCCATCCATCTTGAGCTCCACAAGCCCACGGCACCTAGCTTGCATTGCGTGGAACCCCCAGTGCGCTCTCTCCTTGTTCCATGCCCACTCTCACTTCCTCACACCTCCCCTCCTCAACACCACTCCACTCCACTCCACTCCACTCCACTCCACACCACTCCACTCCACTCCACTCCGTACCACTCCACTCCACACCACACCCTGCCTCGCCATGTCCCTCCACACCCGCTCGTTCATTGTCCCCGCTTCCGTACTGTCTTATCAGAGTCACATCAGAGTGCTACCCGCGTCCACACGCCACACGTTTCTCTTCCGATCAGCCTCAAACCGACGTTCTCCCTACTCACTCCCCCCCTCCTGCTCCCCCTCCCCCTCCCTCTCCCCCTTCCCGTTCCCCCCTCCTCCCTCCCTGCAGCTCTCTCTGCGCTTCGCCTCCCGCCTGCCCTGGCTGCACCGCTTTCTCACCCACAGCGACCCCTCGGTGCGAGCGGCCTTCGCCAAGCTGCTGGGCGTCGTGGCCAAGGGGCTGCCTGCAGAGGACGCACACGCGCTGCTGCAGAAGCTGCAGGAAGGGCTGGCCCACGATGGGGGGAAGGGGGGGATCAAGTGAGTGGGAGACGTGTGGCCTTTTGTTGTGATTCTTGTGTTGAAATGGTGGGGTAGGATGGTCAGGGAGGGACTCGGTCTTTTACTTCAGCTTCACCTCCTCGGCTCTCCCTGTCACCCGCTCTCCCTCTGCCGCTCACATGCCCCCGTGCCGCCTTCCTTTCCTTCCCTGCTGGCCCTACCTCTCACCATGCATGTGCGTGCCGCCTTCCTTTCCTGCCGCCTTCCTTTCCTGCCGCCTTCCTTCCTGCCGCCTTCCTTTCCTGCCGCCTTCCTTTCCTGCCGGCCCTACCTCTCACCATGCCCCTTGTATGCCTTGCTTGCCACCCATCCCTTCTTTCCGCCCCTCGCTTCGCTTGCTTCCCCCTGCTGCTGCGGTGTCGCCCGCAGGGAGGAGGAGGTGCAGGGGCTGATAGCAGCGCTGGGCTATGTCACTGCCACAGCTGCAGATGCCACTGGGGTGAGCCCTGCGCCTCTGTCACGTGCTGCTCTCTGCTTCGGCTGCCCTGACCACCTGTGATGTTCGGTCTGTAACGTGCACTGTAATCGCACACGCATCACGCATGCCTGGTTCAGCGTTCAGTTTTGAGGCGCCTCAAAATTTCACACATTGACCTACACGCCCCCTCCTTCCAACACCCACCCCCTCCTTTTCCCCCCCCTCCCTCCTCTATCGCCTCCCCCCCCCCCACACCCCTGCAGCGAGCATCATCTGTGGACCTCCTCCTCTCGCGCCTGCTCTCCCCCTCCTCCTCCCCCTCCACCCTCGCCCTCACCGCTCAAGCCCTGGGCCTCATAGGCCTCACCGGGCCCCTGCCCCTCCCCTCCTCCTCTACTTCCTCCTCCCATGGGGATGAAACTGTTAAGAGCAACACGATTGGGACGGACGGGGGTGGTGAGGGAGGAGGGAAGGCAGGAGAGGCCGGGAGCGGGGTGGAAGGGGGGAAGGATAAGGATGGGGGGAGCGAGAAGGGGGGGAGTGGGGAGGAGGAGGGGCGGAAGAAGAGGAAGAGGGGGGATGTGGTGGAGCAGCTGGCCTCGTTATTGTCACACAGGGACGACAAGGTGGTGCAGAGTGCAGCAGCGGCCCTGGGCATGATGAGCTACGGGGACCCCCAGGGCGTGGCAGACGCGGCTCTCACTGCGCTGCTCACCCTCGCACGATGCAAGGTGGGGGTGGTGAATGTGTGTGCGCGTGAGGAGGGGGGGGGGGCATGGGGAGGGGTGAGGGGGGAACGACAGCGTGAGAGGGGCAAGCAGAGAGAGGCTTGCCTGATCGATTCCTCTCCTCATCACCCTCCCAAGCTGCGCACTTCTCTCCCTGCATGCTCTGTCATACATGCCCTTTCATCTGCCTCTCTCCCCCCTCTCTCCCCCTGCAGCAGGCGAGGACCTTGCCTTTGTGTGGGGCCCGGTGGGCTCACCTCCCTTCCCCCCCGCGTTCTCCCAAGCCCCCACCTCCCCCTCAACTCCCCGTCCCCCCCAACCCCCCTTCACCGGGAGAACGAGGCGACCCTACTGGCTGCGGGCGAGGCGCTGGCCTTTGTCTGGGGCCCAGTAAAAGCACCCCCTTCCGCCCTGTGCCCTCCCAAACCCTCACCACACCCTCACCCACCCCCCTCCCTTCCGTGCGGCAGAACGAGGCGACCCTACTGGCAGCAGGCGAAGCGCTGGCATTTGTGTGGGGCCCGGTGGACTCGCCGCCCTTCCGCCCTGCGTTGCTGCTGGCCGGTCCGCACTCCTCCCTCGCCCCCATATTCAACGACGCTGACGACGCCGCTGCCGCCGCGCTGGAGGACAAAGCACGCCGCCCCAAGCAGGAGGCTGGGGAAGGGGGTGGTGGGGGGAAGCAAGGGGGAGAGGGTAAGGGGGATGTGCAGATGGCAGATGCGAGTAGAGAGGGAGGAGAGGCCATAGCAGTAGAAACGGAAGGGAAGGTGGGAGCTGATGTGGTGATGGGAGAGGGACAAGAAAGCAACGCAGGAGAGGAGAGGGTGTGGGGAGGAGAGGCGGCGGAGGTGCGGTGGGAGTGGGTGCGGAGGGTGCTGGTGGACGAGCTACTGGTGAGCAGCCGCAGCGAGGAGCGGTGCGCTGCGGCCGTGTGGCTCATGTCCCTGCTCTCCTTCTGCGGCCACCACGCCTCCCTGCAACGCCTGCTGCCGCAGCTGCAGGTACCGTCTCTCGCCCTCTCTCTCAGGCACTTCTTGCATGCAACGGCGGCAGTCTTCCCTTGCACTTGGGACCAGACATGAGATAATTCTCAATACCGGAGCATTCCTTCCCTTCTGCAAGCAACCACACTTCCCTCCACTCCTTCTCCACCTCTCTACCCCCCATCCCCCTTCCATTCTCCGCAAACCCGTCCACCCTCCTGCCCCCACCATCAGGAAGCCTTCAGTTCCGCGCTGGGCGACTCGAATGAGCTGACACAGGAGATGGCGTCGCGGGCCATGTCGCGCATCTACACGCTGGGGGACGCCGCCACCAAAGAGCTGCTCGTTGCCGCGCTCGTGGCCAACCTCACTGGCGCTGGGGGCAAGAAGCGGAGCGGCAAGGTGAGGGCAGTGGGGTGGGGGGGTGGGGAAGTGAGGGAGTAGTGGAAATGTGATAGAGTAGGGAGAGTGGGTGTTTAGTGGGAGGGCAAACGAGGTGTGTGAGATTCGGCCGAGCTGGCCCAGGAGACAGCGTCATGGGCCATGACGGGTGTCTACACGCTGGGGGACAAGCGCACCAAAGAGCTGCTTGACCTGACCGGTGCTGGGGGCAAGAAGAGGAGCGGCACCCCCGCACCGCCCTCCCCGCCCTCCCTTATTCCCCCTCACCGCCCACCCCGCCTTCCCCCCACTCCTTTCACCCCCGTCCTCCCCCCCTCCCGTTCCTGGAAAGACATGGAGGTGTTCATCGAGGACTCAGTCGACTGCAACACCTCCAGTTTTGAGCCGCCCCTAGCATCCTCTTCCCCCCGCTCCCCCCTTATTCCCCCCTTATTCCCCCCTTATTCCCCCCTTATTCCCCCCTTATTCCCCCCTTATTCCCCCCTTATTCCCCCCTTATTCCCCCCTTATTCCCCCTTATTCCCCCCTTATTCCCCCTTATTCCCCCTTATTCCCCCCTTATTCCCCCCTTATTCCCCCTTATTCCCCCTTATTCCCCCCTTATTCCCCCCTTATTCCCCCCTTATTCCCCCTTATTCCCCCCTTATTCCCCCCTTATTCCCCCCTTATTCCCCCTTATTCCCCCTCCCCCCTTCCCCACTCCCTCCTCTTCTCCCCCCCTCAGCTCCTGGGCGACACTGAAGTGTTCACGGAGGACTCAGTGGCGCGCAACACATCCTCCTCATCCATGCGTGCGGGTGCGGCGGGCAGCAGCAGCAGCGCCGCGAGCGCGGCAGCGGGGCGCACGCAGAGCAGCGTGGGCGTGAGCACGTACCGCGAGCTGTGCAGCGTGGCCACGGACATGGGGCAGCCCGACCTCATCTACCGCCTCATGGACATCGCCAACCACCACGTGGGTGCCTCTCCCTGGTGCCTGGGCTTTGCTTTAGTGCTTCTGTTGTTCTTGGGAGGGAGCCAGCCAGTGGCTGAATGTTTGGGAGTTTTGTGCATGTGAGGTTATGACATGGGGCAGCCCGACCTGATGTATGTACCTCATGGACATGGCCAACAACCACATGGGCACCTTGGCTTGGGGTCACCTCATCTACCACCTCTTGGCCTTTCGTTTTCAGGGCGAGTGGGAGGGGGGGAAGCATGCGCGGTTGGCAGAGGGGAATGGAAACGGTGGGAACGGGATAGAAAAAAAAGGAAGGGAGGCAGCACGAACAGGGTGCTGGGGGTTGGGTTGGGGGGGGATGAGACGAATACCTGTTTGATGTGCTTGACAGGTGTGTGCCTGTGTTGCGGAGACCTTAATTCCCTGTGCTGAGAATCTCGCAAAATGGTGCTTGGTTTGTGGTATCGCTCTTGAGAACTACAGTGTCGAGAGTGATCCCCCCCCCCCCCCCCCCCTGGTCTGCACATCCCCCCTTTTCCTGCATCACGCCCACACACCCTCTCCTCACCCATCCTTCTTCCCCTCAGCTCCCCTCCCTGTTGCACCCCACTCAACCCCTCACTCCACTCCACACTGCCCCCTGCCCCCCTCCCTCCAGGCGGCGCTCAACTCCAACCGCGGAGCCGCTTTCAGCTTCGCAGCAGTCGCAGCAGAGGCAGGTGCGGCCCTGGAGCCGCACTTACCTGCCCTCCTCCCGCGCCTGCTGCGCATGATGTACGACCCCAACCGGCCCCTGGCCGAGGCCGCGGGGCACATCTGGCGCGCGCTGGTGCGCGAGCCCAAGGCGACAGTGGACAAGCACTTCGACGGGATAGTGGAGGATCTGCTTGGGAACGTGACGGGCCGGCTGTGGCGGAACAGGGAGGCCGCTTGCCTGGCGCTCGCTGACCTGCTGCCGTCAAGACGGTTTGCCGAGGTGGGTGGGGATTTCTGAGTTGATTCGGTTGTTTGGGAGGTGTGGTGTTGGGGGAGAGAGGGGAATGGGAGGGGGGACAGGGAGAAAGGGTGGAGTGTTTGTGAAGTAATGGAGAGAGAGAGAGTAACTGGTGTGGGATACTGTGTGGATTTAGCTAGGTCAGGGGGTCGGGCAGCGAGTGGCGTGCAGCGAGTGGCGTGCAGGAGGAGCAACACATGCTGTAGGGGGACTGTTTCCCAGTCGTTATCCTCCCACTTCGCTCGCCTACATACCTTCCCCTCTCACTCCATCTCACCTACCGCTCCCATCGCCTCCTCTCTCCCCCCACCCCTTGCTACCCTGCATCGCCCCTCAGGTGTCCAAGCATCTGCAGCAGGTGTGGGTGGTGTCCTTCTGCGTGTGCACTTATCCCACCACTCTCATGCCTCCTTGCCATTGCCCACATATCCTCACCCTCTCACCCGCCTCCATCCACCCCCGTCAGGTGTCCAAGCATCTGCAGCAGGTGTGGGTGGTGTCGTTCCGAGCGTGCGACGACATCAAGGACAGCGTGCGCACAGCGGGGGAGAAGCTGTGCCGCGCCGCCACGTCACTCACCGTGCGCCTGTGCGACCCCACGCTCACTCCACGCGCCGATGCCCGTGCTGCCTGCGGTATCGTGCTGCCCGTGCTGCTGGCCCAGGGCATGACCTCGTCTGTGGCCTCTGTGCGCCACCTCGCTCTCTCCACCACTGCCAAGCTCGCCAAGGTGGGTGTAGGAGGAGGAGAGAGGAGGAAGGGTGCAAGGTTGGGAGAAGGGAGAAGAGGAGGGAGAGGAAGTGAGAGAAGGAAAGGAAAGGTGGGGGGAAAGCGAGGAAAGGTGGGGAAGTATGTAAAGCTGGGGGAAGAGCTGGGGGAGAGGGGGTTGGGCAGGGATGAGGAGGCATGGTCCGTGGGGGGTGTGTGGGAAGACAGAGGGGGTCTATTAGAGGGCTTGCTTGGCAAGGTTGCCTTGCCTGCATGGCGTGTCGTCCTGCCCCTCTCAGCATCCCCTTACATGCCCAATCCGCTTACCCGTCCACATTGCCCTGCCCTACTCTCACGCACTCTCTCCCCTTCCCCGTCCTCCCTCCCCTGCCCACCCCCTCCCGCTTCCCCACCGTCCGTGCCCCCCTGCCCCTCTCAGAACGCGGGTCCATCGGTGCGGCCGCACTTGGCAGCGCTGGTGCCTGCCATGCTGGAGGCACTCTCAGGGCTCGAGGACCAGAACCTCAACTACGCTGAGGTGGGGGGAGGGAGAGGCAGGGGCAGGCAGGGGCTTGGTTGGGTAGTGCGGAGGTGTGTGCGGTGAGCAACGGAGCGCACGCCTGCACAGCAACTTGTGCCGCTACTCTCATATCTCGCCTCTCTCGGCACCCAACACTCCGTATCTTTGTCTCATGGAGTACTTTGAGTCGAGTCAGAGTACCCTCTGCATCTCTGTCTCATTCATCCGTGCACCATCAGCGATTCTCAACCTCGCTGCTCCTCTGCACACCCGTCCACACCTCCTTCCTTCCCTGTCTGTGTGGAGCAGCAACACGCGGAGAGGGTGGGCATCAGCAGTGAGAAGCTGGAGGCAGTGCGGCTGGCCATGTCCCGAGACACGCCCATGTGGCACACGCTTGACGCATGCCTGCAACAGGTGCGTGCACGCTGCTGGCTGCGCGCTGAATCTGTGTCGATCTACCCATTCAATCCTACCGTCCGTCCACGTATCCGTCAGTCGGTCTCTCTGGTCATCCGTCCATCTCTCTGACTACCTGTCCGCCTCTATCTGTCTTTCTGTGTTTCTCCTTTCTCTCGCAATGTTTTACCCTAATGCTTCGCTGCAACCTTCGTCTACTGCTCCTCCGCCAGCCGGCGTACTCGCACTCTCACTTGTTTTGCACGTTGCCTCTGCTGCTCTCTGCCTGTACCCTGTTCACCAGGTGGATGAGTCCTGTCTGCCCGACCTTCTCCCTGTGCTCAAGTCCCTTACTCGCTCCTCTGTGGGGCTCAACACCAGGTGCCTCACTCCCTCTCATGCCCTTGCTGCTCCTCTCACGCGGAACACCTCTCACACCGCACACCCTGTCGCACCGCACACCCTGTCGCACCGCACACCCTGTCGCACCACACACCCTGTCGCACCACACACCTGTCACACCGCATAGTCGTGTCTTATTCCCCACACTTCTTTCATTGTGCTCACGGATTCTAACTCGTTGTTCCCACATCCCCCCATCCCCCTTGTCTGCACCCCTAACCCCCCCTAACCTCCCCACTACCTCCCCACCACCTCCCCACCTCCTCCCACCAGAGTGGGCGTGGCTCGATTCATCTCGCTCCTCATCCCCCGCATCGGCCCCTCCGCCATGCGTCCGCACGCCCCAGCCTTCCTCAAAACCCTCTCCCTCGCGCTCTTTTCCGAACGCACCTCAGCGGGCCGCAGGGCGTTCGCAGCAGCAGCAGCGGACATGGCAAAGTGTGCGGGGGGCCCCGCAGTGGAGAGAGTGGTGGGGGAGACGTGTGCGCGGTATCTGGGGGAGGAGGCGGCGGGGCAGAAGGATGTGCGGCTGTGCTGCGCGCTGCTGCTGCGGGACGTAGGCAAGGCATGTCCCGATGACATGCCGCCGTGCCACCATGTGCTGCTGCCAACTCTGCTGCTAGGACGGTCAGTCGGGGTTACTTCCTTTTACTGCCCCATCTGCTCTCTTGCCTTCTTGTAATTACATCTTGCTACTTCTGCATTTTCTCTCCCCTTCCAATCACTCACTCCACTCTCCCTCAACTCTCTCACATCACATCTTCGGTGGGCGGGTGCCAGATCTAGCAGAGTTCAATTCACTTATGACGCCCGTAGTAGGCCAAACCCGTGTGCTTTTTCCACTCCCTATTCCTCCATCTGCCTTTATTTGCATCCAATTTCGGCCCCATCTGTTTCTACCCTCGTTTGTGCTTCTACCCCCTTCCCCCCTGCCTGCCTTGTGCCTGCCAGCTACGACGAGGACGAGGCAGTGAGGGCGGTGTGGGAAGAGGCGTGGGACGATGTGGGGGTGGCGGCGTCAGCAGCAGTGCGGGAGCATGCAGGGGACATTGCCGCCACGCTCACCGCTGCTGCCACAGCCTCCTCATGGACCCGCCGCTGCCAGGTGGGTCAAGCAACAGGGTCACATGGGTGAAGCTAGAGGCCCTGCCTGCCAGGTGCAGCTAGAGGCTCTGCCAGATGCGGCTATGGATGGCTGTATGGGTGGGCGTGGCAGCGTCAGTGGCAGTGCGGGAGCACGCGGGGGACATTGCCGCCACGCTCACCGCTGCCGCTAATTCCACACCTCCCTCCGTGTGCCCTCATCCAGGGAATGCCCCGCATGTCCTTGCTTTGAGCGTTTGGTTGGGTGAACCTAACGAGTTTTCCTGTGTCTTCCTCTCTTTCTGAATGCAGCTCTCATTCCACCTCCACTGTTCTCCTCCTTACTTTCCGCTTCTTCTCGCATCTTCTCAAATTTCCACTCCTCTCCTCAGTTCTCTTCTCCTGTCCTCTGTTGTCTCCCCCTTCAGGCAGCAGCAGCATTGAAGGCAGTTGTGAAGGCCATGAGAGCAGACACCCCTCCCACAGTCGAGTTTCCAGGCGCCTCATTTCTTGAATCCTCTCCTCCCCCACCTCCCCACCTGCAGGCAGCAGCAGCCATGGAGGCAGTGGTGAAGGCCATGGGAGCGGACACCCCTCACACGGTCTTGGCTCAGTTCCTCTCCACGCTGCTACCGCAGCTGCCAGGCCGCTTGTGGGAGGTGAGGGAGAGCATTCAATCAGGGCAGCAGTACCGGCAGATTTGTTAGCAGCTGCCACCTGTCATGATATCGGTGCTGTTGGGGATTTCTTAGTCATCGTAGGGATGCCATGTAAGAGCACTGGGTGTTGGGCCTGAGAGAAGAAGTTGAAGTGGCACTGGTGTGGGGATGTAGTGGCGGAGAGCGCATGGAAAAATCGTCCCTTCCTCTCTTCTCAGCTTCTCCCTCAACCTCCCTAAGTGCGCTCCTTCCCCTTCTCTCCATTTCACCCTCTCCTCTTCACCCTCTCCTCTTCACCCTCTCCTCTTCACCCTCTCCTCCTCACCCTCTCGCTCTCTCCTCTCTGCCCTCTCCTTGCCATCTCCCAGGGAAAGGAGCAGCTGCTTCCAGCCATTGCTGCCATCTGCACTGCATGCCCCTCCGCTCTGCTCTCGCTCTCACTCGCCTCACAACCTTCACAAGCAGCAGCAGCAGCAGGCACAGGGGGAGCGGCAGCAGAGGTGGTGGCAGCAGTGCTAGCAGCGTGCGGTCGGAACAAGGCGGCATTCAGGCTCGCAGCACTGCAGAGCCTGCACAAGGTGGGTGAAGGCTCACTGAAGTTTCACTGTTAGTTTCACTGCCGCGGTTCTACCAGGCCACATGTCACTCAGCCTTTTCCTTTCACCCCGTGGACGTGCCGTAGTTCTCATCATGGAAGCTACTTGATTGACGGTCGCCCTTCTTTCCACCCTTCTCAACAGACTATTCTGCCCTTTTCTATCCGCCGCCCTTCTCAACAGATCCTGCAGGCCTTCTCACCCTCGCCTCCCCCAAAGCAGCCGCTGCTGAAGCCGTCCGCACCACAACGAGCAGCAGGTCCAACGTTGGATGTGCTACCTCTGGTGGCACCGGGATTGATTGCTCTCTTCCCCTCCCCCTCTCCCTCCACTGCACCCGCTCATGCTCCAAAGGCTGCGTCCATTGGTACGTGCTTGCGATGCTTGCTTGCGGCATGCTGCAAGCTACTGAGCGGTGGGAATGGGTTCTGTTACACCTATTAGAATGAACTCTCTGGGATTGGCATTTCTTCTTCTTTTTCTGTGTCCTCTATATTGAGTACGAATTTCTTGCTTGTCGTTCCCCCCCCGCTGTCTCACACATACATACTCACACACACTTATCAACACACTCACGCACGCCATTCCAAGCAGCAGAGCCAGCAGCAGCAGAAGCACGGGCAACAACAGCGGAGCAGCAGGAGGCGCTGCTAGCATGCGTCACAGCAGCTCTCCTCTCCGCAACACCCACCTCCCTGCCGCCGCACACAGCACCGGTGCAGTCAGCCCTTTGCGCCCTGCTCTCCTCCAACCCCGTCTGGACAGGTGTGCATGACCCCCTCTTCCGAACCTTGACAGCTGCCTATGGCTCTCGAACTCATATCTTAGCTGGTCGCCTGGTGCTATGTCTCCCCCCTGTCCCTATCCCTGACTACTGCCCATGATTCTTGCCCTTGTACACCGGTGAATGCTGCATCCCATGCCTTGTCCCCATCTCCACCCTCTGGAGCATGTTCTTCCTAGCAGCGACTGCTGCTATTGCGCTCACATCATTCTCTGCTGTAGCGCGCCGCAACTCGCACCGAGTACTCTCTGGCATGTCATCCTGTCTCACCTGTCCTCCCCTGCTCTCCCCTCCTGCCGCTGCAGTCAAGCTGGCAGCACTCAACACGAGTGCTACCTTCCTTTCGTCCCTTCTCAAGTTACCGTCCAATGTGAGTCAAGTGCTGTTATTGGTCATCGTAATCCGTACGCCAGGTAGTGGATGTCAGCTGATGGTCATTAATTATTCAGTCGGCAGCTGGTCATTGTGCACCCATGAGTTCCTTGTGGGTGCCTGGGCGGACTTGCGTCCAGGGCTGCATTCATGAGCAGCCCAGATGTGCGTGGGAAATATTAGTGTGAGAGTGTCTGCTTGTGTGCATGTGTGCACCTTGGCAACCCCAAGTTTCTGATGTTGTGTCTGTGTTCATGCGTCCCTCGTGTGGCCTTCGTGCTGCTGTCACATTTTTTGCATGGGCCATCACTGCATGCCTCTGTGTGTGTGTGTGTGTGTGTGTGTGTGCGTGTGTGTGTGTGTGTGTGTGTGCGTGCGTGCGTGCGTGCGTGCGTGCGTGCGTGCGTGCGTGCGTGCGTGCGTGCGTGCGTGCGTGCGTGCGTGCGTGCGTGCGTGCGTGCGTGCGTGCGTGCGTGCGTGTGTGTGTGTGTGTGTCTCTGTCTCTGTCTCTGTCTCTGTCTCTGTCTCTGTCTCTGTCTCTGTCTCTGTGTGTGTCTGTGTCTGTGTCTGTCTCTGTCTCTGTCTCTGTCTCTGTGTGTGTCTGTGTCTGTGTCTGTGTCTGTGTGTGTGTCTGTGTGTGTGTGTGTGTGTGTGCACATGTGCAGTCTGACGTGCACCAAACAGTCGCCCCCTTCCTCCCCATCTTCATCGACGCCCTAACCGACACCAAGCGCTCACAGGTAAGCAATCCAGCCACAACCCCCCCCCCCCTTCAACCTGTCTCCTCTCCCCTATTATCCATCTCACACCCCCTTCGAAGTTCCAGTCAGTTGCTACTGTCCCTCCCCTCTCCTCCCACGTCTTATCCATTCACACCCCGTTCTAGGTTTCCAGTCAATTGCATGTGCTGTGAATCTGCACATGCGTACGCGTATGTCGTCTCTGATCACTGCCCATTCTCGAGCATGTGTTCGTTGTTTTACCAGACCCGGCAAGCGGCAGTAGGGGCAATTCAAGCAGCCACGGAGTGTCTGCAGCACCACAGCGCCCTTGAGCCCGCGGACCGGGATTTCCTCGTCGCTGCTCTGCGAGATGCAGTGAAGGTGGAGAAGAGCGAGGCTGTCAAGTCGGCTGCAGAGAAATGCCTGGAGCTGCTGGGGGGTATGGTGGAATGAGAGCGCAGGGGAAGAGGAGGGAGAGGGGGACGGAAAGAGGGAGCTGGGGAGAAGGGGAGGGTGGATTCTGGTGCTTTGTTGGAAACATGAATGACAGTGTGTTTGTCTCAGAGTAATGAATTTACCAGTAGTAGGATAGAAGGTACAGGGTAGTTTTGTGCTAGTGTTTTACTCTCTAACAGCATTCGCCTACCTAGCCTATAATAACATACAGTAAAAGCCCGGATATAAGACCCCCATGGAATAGAAGATACTACCAGGGTCATCGTGTTGGAAATTGGAATACTACAATGGTGAAAACATGAGAGTACAAGGAAGATATAGGGTTGGAGGTGTACTCTCTAAGAATACACTCCTATCTAGCCTATAACTTCTACATGTTAAGATATGTATAAGTTGACACACCCCCTAGGCTAGATAAGGGGCAGTGCAGAGCAAGGAACACGCAGCTCAAAGTGGCACTACTAGTCCAACCTCTGAGGCAGGGGCATGAAGACCAGTAAGCAAGAGTACAAACAAGACGAGCATGTCGAGAAGAAAACTGAAACAAGAGTTGAATGGAGAGAGAGAACAAGGGTATATACCGTAAACGCCCGGATATAGGACCCTAGGGTCTTTTTTCGTATACTACAAAAAAATGGGGGTGAGTCTATTAAGGAAACGTGGAATTACAATACCCGGGACCTTTCTCGTTTTATAGGGGATTCATTTATTTAAAGCGTGTATCAGACCCCGTTTCGAAATGCGTCCATGCTATCGCAGATGTTGATAGATTCCTGCCTGTACCAGAGCGAATTCCACCTCGACAGCTGTGTGGCTGGATTTGGACACCCTGGAGCTCAACTCAAGGCTGCAGCCAATGGGAAATGCAGGTGGCGGCAGCATTTACACTTCATGAGAGAAGATTCCACTGGAATCGACCAACTCCCATCTTCGATACCGTCAAGATGATATGCAACGCTGGCATGCAGACTTGACAGACATCGACGACCAGGGTCTCTACTCTGCCGCATCGACGGCCGAGAGAAAAGATTCCTGGTCTTGTGGCGGGGCACAACTGAAGTGGTCCCATGCGTCTGCGTCGAGGGGGCGGGAGGAGTGCTTCCCTCCCACGACTCTCTTGCCTTGAACGTGGTGGCCTTTTGGAGGGAACGAGACTAGAGTCACGTCCAGCTCGCTCGCCATCTCTCACGGGCCTTGCTGGCTAATGCTTGCAATCTACCAAGCCGTCTTCACTCAGGCACATCGTTCTCTCGCTCACAGAGCTGTCGCTTTCTGCGATTCGTACGCCAGTATCGTCGTCTGGATTTATGGCACCCATGTCGTGGGATCCTTGTGTGAATTCGTGACTGTCGGCACCAACTTAGCTCAGCCTCCAGCGCAATGCCTCCAGTGACCAGGAGAGGGCTTGCGGCCATTATCAAGGGCCATAACCCACGCTCACAGACGCTTGACCGATGGGTTTATGCCGCACCAGCGCCTCCCGCTCCTCCCGCACCTCCGGCGCCGCCAGCGTCACCTGCCCCGCCAGCGCCGCCGGCGCCTCCCAACCTTCCTTTGGCCTTGCGTTATCGTGACCAAGACTGGCCCGATCCTTGCGCGAATTTCGACGGCGTCTTCGACGAGGGCGATGCCGAGGATGCGACGGGCGTGGGTGCTGCCGATAACTCCGTTGAAGCTGAAAACATGTCTGACGACGGCGAGCCCCAGATTCCTATCCCCTCTTACCCGACTGGACGCAGGTCACGCGAGGACTGGGAGGTTAACCACGACGCATCCCCCCCCTCGCCAAGGTCCCGCGCCTCGAAAGGTCTTCGGCACGCGAGAACCGTGAAGGAGAAGCTGGCGTGGTTGGAATACATGGATGCTAACCAGCTCTCCACTCGTGCCACCGCTAAAAAGGCGGGTGTCCAGCCTGTTTGCGTGCGCAGGTGGATCAAAGACCGCCCGCGACTCGAGAAAGCTGCGACCTGCCGTAAGCGGCTCCATGGCGGCGGGCGACGGTCGCTGTACGCAGACATGGAAATTTGGGTATACAGGAAGCTGCTACATCATCGGACCCTCGGGCTTCCCGTGTCGGTCAACCTCATCCGTCGCTGGAGCCTGAACTACATGGCCAAGAACCACCCATCAGTCGACTGGAAGGCATCTTCTCGATGGTCTCAGCGCATGCGTGCACGGTGGGGTCTGTCAGTAAGGGTAAAGACTAAGATTGGCCAACGCCTGGCCGACGGTGAGTTCACCACTCAAATTCGACTTCTCTCCTCGGTTTAATATTGCACGTGTTTTCCATGGTGCTACTGCATCTTTTGCTTCTGTCCTTGTGCAACGGCCTAATGCTTACTCGTCTTCCGTCCTTCCCCGTGCCTACCATGTCTGGCAGATATCAAGCCGAAGGCCCAGAGTTTCTGGCGTTTCTGCCGCAAGCAGATATTCAACAGGGCCATCCCCAACACCCTCATGATCAACGCCGACCAGACGGCGTTATTCCTGGAAATGCCAACCAAGCGCACGGTCGAGCACAGGGGTATCAAAACCGTGCACGTCAGGACCGCCGGTTACGAAAAAGAGCGTGTAACCGTCATGCTGGCATGCACGGCTGCGGGGCAGAAGCTGCCCGCGTATGTCGTCTTCAAGCGCGTCCGCCCGCCTTCCATCCCAGTCCCATCGAGTAAGTTGACGCGTTTTTTGTTACCATGCGGGGTCGACATGTTCTTCATTTCATGACAACGCCATGCGTCATAATTTTAATGTTGTTTTTCTTGTCTGCACAGATGTCATCATCCGTGCGCAGCCGAGAGGTTGGATGGACGAGCATATGGTGCAGGACTGGATAATCCGAGTCCTTGCACCAAATGTCGCTCCCCAGCCTGGGAGGCCTCGCCCCGCCAGCCTGGTCGTGCTCGACTCGTTTCGGGGGCACTTGACGGAGGGAGTCAAGCAGACTATGCGCCTGTTCAAGATGACTCCCGCCATCATTCCGGCTGGGTGCACCTCGGTTCTACAGCCTCTCGATGTGTGTGTGTTCAAGTCATTCAAAGCTTCCGTGCGGGCAGAGTATGAAGATTGGTTCGCCACTGTCGGCGTCAACACTTTCACCAGAGCCGGTGAGAATGCGCAAATCCATATGCTCACAGTCAAGCACCACTCATGAGATGCTTACACTTGATGTGTTTTCAACAAGTACTAACGCACTCCTCTTTAATCCCCTCCCCCGCACCGTAGGGAACCTGAAGAAGCCTCCCCCCGAGGAGGTTATTCGCTGGGTGGGAAGATCTTGGGCGAAGGTGCCAGTGGCGCTTATCCAGAAAGCGTTCAAAGTCACCGGCATCTCCAATGCACAGGATGGTTCGGAGGACCATATGATCCTCCGCCATCTCAAGCAGCATACCCCTGACGAAGTCGACGTCAACGACGATGTCGGCGCGGCGGGGGCGGATGGCGACAACACCGCTGTCCCGCAGAACGCTGACGAGGATGAAGACGATGCTGCCGACGACGACGATGGTGGTGCAGACGACGACGATGAGCCGTTGCCGGACCCTGCGGTGCCTGAAGACATTCTGGCCTGCGACCCGTTTCAAAACTTGGCGGAAGAGCCACCAGCATCAGTCGCTGAACCAGAGCCTGCTGCTGACGCATTCGAGCCACTGCCTCACATGACGCTGGCACAACGCATCTCTGCCATGGAGGAAGACTATGGCGACTCTAGTGCTGAAGATACTGATGACGACCACGAGGATGAAGAGCCAGTAGAGGGTATTCCGACAGTCTTGTGTAGCCCGCTGAATATGTAGTACCGGTATGTGGTAGTGCAATAATCTCGTGTTTTAGGTGCTGACTGGTTCCCTAACTAAGTGTGCCATGTACCAGTAGGAAGTTGTTATTGTAGTGCACAATTTTAGGCTTGAATTCATGAAAAAAACCGAGTAGGGGGGTCCAAACCCATCTACAGCTTTTAGGGAGGGTCTTGTTAGTCGATGACCATCTACCCGCAAAAAACACCCTATGGGTCTTCAATAAAACCGGTCTTATATCCGGGCGTTTACGGTACCTAAGAGTGTTGTACCCTCTAAGAGGTGACCCTATACAATCTATACAAATATGAGTTATACATATATTTGACACACCCCCTAGACTGCAAAGGGGCAAATCCTGAACAAGCAGCTTAGGGCGGCACTACTAGTCCAGCAACTGAGACAAGGGTCTAAAGACCATTCAAAAGGAGTACAGGCAAGACAAGAACAAGACCAGGGCGGCACTACTAGTCCAGCCACTGGGAGAGGACACAAGTCCAATCTGAGTACATATATCGATATATATAGGACAGTACAAAGTCAAGGTCCTAGCAAGTGAGAGGCTACAGGAACTAGACCGAGCTGTACACAGTGCCGCTGATGATCTTCAGGCGCAAGCGCCTTCGTAAAGATATCAGCTGTGTTGGCACCAGAGGCCAAGTGAACTACGCGGGCCTGGCGGCGCTGCTGTAGCTCGCGCAGGAGGAAGTACCGCAGCTGGATGTGCTTCGCTCTGCCCTCAAGTCGAGGCTCCTGACACAGGAGAATCATGGCCCGGTTGTCAGCGTACAGGACCGGGGCAGAGCTAGGCCGCTCACCTAAGTCTGTGAGCAAGAAGGTCAGCCAGCGGAGCTCCTGTGCCGCCATGGCACCGGCATAGATCTCAGCCTGACAGCTGGACTGAGCAACAAACGACGAGTGAGTGGATCTCCAAGAGATAGCACCCGAACCAAGGCTAAAACAGTAGCCCTGCGACGACCTGAGCGTCTCAGAGTCGTCTGTCCAAGAAACGTTTGTGTGCCCAGTGAGGACCACTGGCCTGCGTCCTCCTAACACTAACCCCATGCCTGATGTACTTGCTAGATATCGCAAAACCCTCTTACCGGCCGACCAGTGCTGTGGTTGGTGTCTGCCAGTGGCCACAAAGCGAGCCAGGATGCTGAGAGGGTATGCGAGATCTGGGCGAGTGCAGGTCATCAGGTACATGAGGCAACCCACCAGCTCTGCGTAGGGGCCGCTGGGCTCTACTGGCTCCTCAGGAACAGGAGCGGAAAGCCCGTGGTCTACAGGTAGAGGTGTGGGCTGTGGAGAGGAGAACTGAAGACCGAACCTCTGAAGGACCTGACGCACCAAGTGTGACTGGGTCACAGTGATGGTGTGTGCTGCTCTGTCCATAGAGATCTGCAGGCCAAGATAGCGACGCAGCTCTCCAAGGTCAGTGCAGGTGTGTCTCTTCAGCAGCTCAGTCTTCACAGAGGCCAGTGCGTCCTTGTCAGGAGTAGCGAAGACCAGGTCGTCTACGTAGACAAGGATGTAGAACGGAGTCTGGCCGGAACGCACAAACAGTGAAGGGTCAGCAGAGGACGGAAAGAACTGCAGGTCTGCTAACGTGGCACGTAGCGTGTCGTGCCACTCGCGGGGAGCCTGACGCAGGCCGTAGACCGGGCGTCTGAGAAGCCACTGGGTCCCAAGAGGGAAGGTACCAGTGAAGCCCTGTGGTCGGCGCAGGTAGACCTGCTCGTGTAGGCTGCCCTGAAGTTAGGCAGTAGAGAAGTCGAGGGAGTGAAGCTCGTAGTCACGCTGTGCTGCTACGTGTGGCAGCGCCCGAAGAGTGGTCATCTTCGGGGTCGGGGCGAAGGTCTGGAAGAAGTCAACCCCCTCGCTGACTGAAACCTCTGGCCACGTAGCGCGCCTTGAAGACAGGCGGCTCTCCAGGGGGGCGCTTCACTTTGAAGAGCCACCGACCATCGACTACGTTCACCCCAGGCGGGGGAACTGCGTCGACGTAAGTGCCGGTGGACCTCCAAGATGCCATCTCCTGCTCCATGGCAGCTATCCACTGAGAGGCCCAAGGTCCCGAGGTGGCCTCAGTGTAGGTGCGAGGGGTCGGGATGTCGAAGGCGTCTGGGTCACCCTCAGGGACTAACAGCATGGAGCAGAGATGGGGAGCAGCCTCGGAAAGGAAAGCAAGCTCGTACTGTCTGTCCTCTAGGACGTCACTTCCAAGGGCAGGAGCACCCCTGACGGACGGAGGACGGGCAGGGTCAGAGACCAGAGCGGTAGCGTAGTCAAGGCGGCGGGTAGAGGCGAAGTCAGCGACAGCAGCGACAAGCGCGTCAGGGCGCGAGACAGGAACAGAAGGGTCGGTAACAAGAGAGGCAAGGACCCGAGGGACAAGGGGACGAGCAGCACGGAGGTAGTCTGAGAACGGAGGAGGTGCAACAGCAAGGGACGAGGGAGGAGGGGACGGGAGGAGGGGAGGACAAGACGAGTGGGAATAGAGAAACATAGGGTGGGAGCGCAGGACAGGAGAGACGGGACGAGCATGGGAGGGACGGAGAGCCCAAACGTGAGACGGAGGTGTAGGGTCAGGGGACAGCGGAGGAGACACAGGAGGGGAACGAGGAGGAAGACGGGCCGGAGACGAGTCTGGCAGCGGGAACACAGGACCGTAGACAGGAAGGTCAGCAGGCGGTGGGGGAGACACCGTCGCGCGGTCCGGGGAGGGAAGGCCGAGCAGGCGGAGAGCGAAGACCGGCGGCGACGGCTGCTGCGGCGGCGACGACGGCTGGGCCGGAACTCTCGGACCAGGAGAGGCAGAACGACCGTCGGCAGAACACCCAATAGCAGCACCCCCAGAACCAACACCCCCAGAGCGAGAACCCCCTCCAACACCAGCGGCACCCCCTGAAGCCGCAGGACTAACACCCTCCTCCACACCAGCACCCCCAGGGGTCAGGAGCGGCAGCGGCAACGGCGGCGACGACTACAGGAGCGACGGCTGCAGCGGCGGCAACAGCGGCGACGGCTGCAGCGGCGACGGCGGTGGCGGCTGCAGCGGGGTTGGCGAGTGCGACAGTGGGGGCGGAGGCACCAGGGAAGGGGGACGCAGCAAGGACAGACCGGGGGTACCACCAGAGTCAGCAGACTCCTCAACGGGGACAACCGACGGGAGGGGAGTGACGTGAGAAACACCAGACGGGGCAGGATGAGGCGGGAGAGGGGCAGGGGCTACCGAGGGAGAGGGAGCAAGGAACAGGGGGGGGGCAACTGGGAGACCTCGGTGAGGGAAGCGGCGGTAGAAGGAGACGGACTCGTCAAAGGTGACGTCACGAGAGTGGAGGAAGTGGTGAGACGATGGGTGATAGAAAAGCCAGTCAGACGAGTCCAGGGGGAAACCGAGGAAGACACAGGGGACAGTGCGGGCAGTGAGCTTGTCCATGCCAGAGGCACGAACGTGAGCAAGGCAGCCCCAAACGTGGAACGCAGACGCGTCACCGGGGGACCCGGTCCAAAGGAGGGTCGGCGAAACCTGCGGCCGCTGGGAGCGTGGCCACAGGTTAAGCTGGTGAGCAGCGTAGCGAACAGCGAACAGCCACAGAAAATGGGGGGCATTGGCATGGATCATGGAGGTACTGGCGACCTCCATGACCAAGCCGATGCGGCGCTCAGCAACCCCATTCTGCTGTGGCGAGTCCGGCAAGGTGTACGACTGGGTGATGCCCTTCGCACGACAGAACTGTCCAAGCCGACCAGAGGCGAACTCGCCGCCACGGTCAGAGTGGAGACACAACACGGGGAGACCGCGGTGGAGACGCGCAGCCACAACCCACGGGAGAAGAACGTCGGGCGCGTCGACCTTCCGCTCTAGGGGAAACACCATGGTGTAGCGCGTGTAGTCGTCGACGAGCACAAGGAAGTAGCGCTCACCGCGCGTTCCGGGAATGGGGGCAGGGCCCCAAACGTCCAGGTGCAGGGTCTGAAGGGGGCAGTAGCCGGGCGCAGCGAGGAGGAGTGTGGGGCACGGCGGAGCCGGCCCTCGACGCAAGGCGTGCACGGTGGCGCAGTCGAGGGAGGAAGGGCGGGGAGCGATGCAGGGAGACCTAAGACAAGTCCGTGCTGGGACATGTGACGCAGATGAGGGAGAGCAGGGTGACCTAAGCGGTGGTGCCAGAGAAGGGACGGGTGAGTGAGGGAACAACACGAGCAAGCTGCAGCAACCTGGGAGGACGCACCAACCGGAGGGGAAGCACTGTCTAGGGTAAACAGACCGGACACCGGGTTCCGGGGGAACGTCGCAAGGGGGGAACCTGAGACAGCCTCAGAACAGACAGCGAACCGCTCGTGCCCGGGGAACGTGGTGGTGACGCCGAGGTCCTAGAGATAGCCGACACCAACCAGGTTCCTCGAGAATGAGGGAACGTGGAGGCCTGTAAGGGAGCCCGAGGGAACTGCTGGACAGGGAAGGGACGTAGAACTGCGAGCAACGACAGGACCCGCAGAGGGGTCAGCGAGAGAGACGACAGCTGGCGTAGCAAGCGGCGTGAGCGCGGAACGGTCACGGAAGAAGCAGGCATAAGCACCAGAGTCGAGAGTGAAGGACAGCGCCGCAGTGGCAGGGGCAGGGAACGGAGCCGGTGCAGAGACGAGGCTAGACAAACTAGGCAGTCCTATGTTAGAAATAGACTGCAAATACCACTTTTGTATTTGTACTTTTATATCCTAGTTTAGGTTATGAATGTTCTAGTGGGTTGGGGTGTACTCACAAATCCCAACCTCACCCAATTGTGATCCCCCAAATCTCCAATTACCCAATTGGAGATTCCGGAGATCCCAATGGGGATTCCCTCCAATTCCCCCTTCATCCATTCACTCTCACCTTGCCATGTACTCATAGAGCCTTGGGCTCCTTACCTAATCAACCATTTCAACTCTATTTCTTACATGGTATCAGAGCGACCTATCCGCACACGCGGATCAAGGTCCTAATCTCAACGTGCCCGCGCTACGCGCACTTCATCGTCGCGACATTCGTTTCGAGTCGTCGGAATTTCGACGTGCTCCACTCTGCAGTCGCGCCTCTTATCGTCGACCGCCTTCGCGCTCGACCTCGTTGAATTTCTCATCTCTGAAGCTTTCACGCTTCTCATCGTCGATTTCCTCCTCGGTTCTCCTTGGTCGAATCTCAATTTCGATCATCTCTTACAACTCGTTCTTGAGTTTCCCCTCAGACCCCGCCAGAATAGGCGAACTCCCCTCGCGAAATCGCCTCCACGAACGTCTCGCGTCAAATGAAGAGCAGGTACACAGGTTGAAGCGGAGCGGAGCTGGTTGCGGAGCTGTGTAGCTGCGGGACAGGGCCTGGGGGTGTGTGGGGGGGTGTGTGGGTCCGGGGTTAGACATAGGCTCAGATTCAGTTTCAAGTCGGCGTTTTAACGAATTTTCGCCGACGCCATTTCCTACTTAGCGGCATTTTGATACAGCCGTCAGAGTGATTTTCAGCAATTCTCGTCGACCAATTTCCAGAAGTGCTGCGCTGCACACCGACAATGGCTTACTCAACCACTTCACTCGCCAACCCGATCCCGCTCCTTCGTCTCGAGCCGGACGATTCATGCTCCAACTACAAGGCTTGGCGCTATGGTGTCGACAAGCACCTCCTCAGTCGCGAGGTGAAAGGGCTCGAGCTCTCCGACGTCCTTCTCAACATCGGTGACGGCAAAGAGCCTCCTAGACCCGAGAGGTCCGCCGATCCAGCTAATGCCGCCGCCGAAGCAGTTTATGCTGCTGCACTGCTCAAGTACAAGAATTGGGAGAAGGCCGATGGTGCGGTCATTAGTGTCTTCATGGGCACCACTCCTCCCGAACTCGTCGAAACCTACCACAACTACCCGTCTGCCAACGCCATTTGGTTCTACCTCGAAGATCGCTTCCTGAACAAGACTGCAGTGGGAGTTGGTATACTCATCCCCAGCATGTTCCAAGTGCGCCTCGAGGACTCGCCAGGCATGGCGGACTATGTCACCAAGGTGCAGTCCATTCATGGTGAACTCAAACAGTTGGGGATAGTCTTCCCCGAGCAAGCCCCTGCAGCCGCTCTCCTAGTCGGCCTCACTCCGGCATACGAAGTCACACTCAAGATGCTCTTGGGCCTTGCTCCTGCAGACCTCACATTTGCCAAGGTCTCATCCGCGCTCCTTTCTGCCGAAAAGGACAACAGCGCTCAAGCCAAGGCCAATGCAATCCGCGCTCCCGTGCCTCAAGCCTATGCCGCTTTGGTGCCATTCCAGCGCAACCACTTCCCCCCGTGTCCCTACGTCATCAAGCGTGGCCCTCGTGCTGGCCAGGTGTGTGGCGGCACCAACCACGGCCTTGCCTCCTGCTTTAAGAAGAAGGATGACGAGTGGTATGCCGTCAATAGGACCGCCTCGAAGCCGCCAAGCTGGATGGTCAATCGTGCTCCTCGCCAAGTCAATCAAGTCGAAGCGCAGGAATCCGTGCAGGCTGCTGTGGCTGCACCTGCTGATGTGCGCCTCAACATGTTGTTCCTTGGCACTGCCATGATTAATGAGATAATTTCGCAGTATCCTGGCTCACAAAGCACCTCAGCCACAATAGAGTTCACCCTCGACAGTGGGGCCACTCACACGGTTCTCAAGGAAGAACACTCCTTCAAGCCATACGAGACACCAATCCGTCTACTTGGAGCAGACTCCAGTTTCACAACACACGCCAAGGGCTCCTCCACAGTTCCGTGCCCAGCTTTTCCTTCGGGCAGTGTGACTGGCATGTGTGTTCCCACACTACGCCACAATCTCGTGGCCCAACACGAGCTCCAACGGGCTGGCGTCACCACGATCTTCCCAGCACACTCGGATCACTGTGACCTCTTCGACCCTAAGTCCAACAAGCTCCTAGCACGCTTCATTCTCAACAATAGCAAGCTCTACACGCTGCGTTCACCTGCACCTCTCGCCGCCCTCTCCCAAGCGCAAGCTGCCAGCACCACTCCGTGTTCGTGTCGCAGCTTCGCCAACCCAACCATCCTCTACCACCATCGCTTGGGTCACCCCAACTTCTGTACACTTGCCGACATCGCTTCCAAGAAACTTCTTCTTGGCCTCCCATCGGCGCTTCCTCCACCAACAGACTCACCTGCACCCACCTGCATGGACTGCACCAAGAGCAAGCTCAGGCAGCAGCCGCACCCTTCCTCTCCATCCGTCGCAGCTGCTCCGCTGGACCTAGTGCACATGGATGTCTGGGGCCCAGCTCCAGTCGCATCCCGAGGCGGTCATCGGTACTTTCTTACACTAGTCGATGACCACTCGCGGTATGTTCCTGTGCACCTCCTGCATACCAAGGCGAAGGCACCTGATGTCATCATGGCGTGGGTGCGCCAGGCTTAAGTCACGTTCGGCACTCCTCTGAAGTGCCTCCATTCTGATGGCGGGGGAGAATTTCGCAATGGCAAACTCGATAACTTCTGTGCGGCCCAAGGGATTCGGCAAACCTTCACGCTCCCCGAAAGCCCGCAGCAGAATGGCATTGCAGAGAGCCGCAACCACACCTTGGTTCAGATCGCTCGCTGCCTCCTCAGTCATGCCAACGCACCACGGTCACTCTGGGGATATGCCCTCTTCCATGCGGCACTCCTCTACAATCTTTATCCGCATCCCCACCGGCCCGACACCACACCTACCGCTCTCTGGCTTGGGGTCACACCTTCCGCCCGCTCTCTACGCGTCTGGGGGTGTACCGCGTATGTGTTGCTAAGCCCCCACACGCGCAGGAAGCAAGGTGGCAAGCTTGGTCCCAAAACCCAAACCTGCATGTACCTGGGGCACAACTCCGACTCCCCAGACTACTTATTCCTCAACCCAATCACCAGACAGCTGATTCGCAGCCGTGATGTCGTCTTCGATGAGACACGCCCATTCCACTCTGCGACCATGGGCGAGCCTCCTCCACCTCCCCCGACGCTTGTTTGGGCAGACTTCGATGCCCCACCTCCGGCCGCTGCCCCTTCTCCGGGGCCTTCTCCATCCGGCGTGTCTCACCCAGCCTCCCCAGTATCCTCCGCAGCGGCACCTCCTCCTGCTCCGCCTTCCCCGCGCGTCGAGCCCGGCTCACGAGTCTCCTATCGAAGGCGCCCAGTCCCTCCGGTCCCACCGCAGCCGCCTTCGTCTCCGGTCTCTAGTCGCACTCGTTCCAAGGGACCGGCTCCGCCTCTCGCCTGGGGACCAGCCGCCTTCTCCATCCGGTGTTCGGTCACCCCGCCTCCTCCTGCCGGGGGTGATGTCCCCTCCATCTGTATTCCCCCCCGTGCACTTCTGGAGGACAGGCATGAGGAGCTGTTTCACCTTCACGCGGTCTGCCAATTTCTCTCTCACATCTTCCCGGACATTACTGACTGCCCTTCCCTCAACTTCACCGAGAACCCGACCATTCCGACTCCTCGCACAAAAGAGGAAGCTCTCTCTTGGCCTTATAAGAAGGAGTGGAAGGCAGCAATGGATGTGGAGAACGAGGCGTTCATTCGCAACAACAGCTTTGACGATGTTGTTCCCCCTTCCGGTGTCAACATCGTCGGCGGAAAATGGATCTTCCGAGTCAAACAACTCCCAGGCGAAGCTCCACTGTTCAAGGCACGATACGTGGCGAAGGGTTTCACCCAGAAGGAGTATCTCGACTTCTTCGAAACATTCTCGCCCACGGCCAAGCTCCCGACTGTGCGCGCTCTTCTTGATATAGCCGCTCGCGGCAACTTCGAGATCAAGTCCATGGACGCCTCCTCCGCCTTTCTCCAAGGCCAGCTCAAGGAGGATGTTCACATGGAACGCCCATCGGGGTTTCCTGGCACTTACCCTGCCAAAACAGTGTGGAAGCTGAAGCGCCCAGTGTATGGCCTCAAGCAAGCTCCTCGTGAGTAGCACAACAAGGTGAAGGAAGTCCTCCTCGCACTTGACTTCCATCCCTCTGCCTCAGATTCCAGTCTCTTCGTTCGTCACTCCTCCGAGCCCTTCTATATCCTCGTCTACATCGACGACTTCATTCTAGCCGCCAGAGATCCAGCCGACATGGCAGCTGTCCACTCTGCTCTCAGCTCCGCCCTTCTCATGAAGGATCTTGGTGACCTCAAGAACTACCTGGGGATGGAGATCACTCGTGACCGCCAAGCTTGCACGATCACCCTCTCCCAGGAGTCCAACATCGACAACCTTCTCAAGCAGTTCGACATGGACTCCAGTAACTCTATCTCCACTCCACTCCCACTACAGCATCAGCTCACGGCCCCTCCAGTTCCTTCTCCTGACGCCTGCAAGGACCCGTACCCTGAGCTAGTCGGTTCACTCATGTATGCCATGATGTGCACTCGACCAGACTTGGCTTACCCGGTTAGTGTCCTCTCTCGGTACGTCTCCCCCGGACGTTACACTGCCTCGCATTGGTCTGCAGCCAAGAGGGTCCTCCGCTATCTACAAGCCACCAAGTCTCACATCCTCACTCTTGGTGGTACCTCTCCAGTCAAGCTCGAGGGATACACAGACTCCTCATGGGCCGATGACCAGACTGACAGACGCTCCTCCTAAGGGTACTGCTTCACCCTTGGTAGCGGAGTCATCAGCTGGCGCTCCACTCGGTCCTCTGCAGTCTCCCTGTCGTCCTGCGAGGCCGAGCTCTACGCGGGCACAATGGCTGCTCAAGAGGCACGCTGGCTCTCCTTTCTTCTCGCTGAGTTAGGCTACCCCCAGCAGTCGCCCACCCTGTGGTGTGACAACCAGAGTGCCATTCACCTCACCAAAGATCCTGTGTTCCACTCTCGCACCAAGCACATCGAACTTCGTCATTTCTTCATCCGAGATCTTGTTCAGAGTGACCAGCTGACGGTACGGTACATCGCCTCAGATTGCAACCTCGCCGACCTCTTTACTAAGGCTCTCGGCAAGGCTCACCACCATCGCCTTCTCCGTTCCATGGGGCTATGTGCTCCTTGATCGGGTTTGCAGTCTATGGGGGTGTGTTAGAAATAGACTGCAAATATCGCTTTTGTATTTGTACTTTTATATCCTAGTTTAGGTTATGAATGTTCTAGTGGGTTGGGGTGTACTCACAAATCCCAACCTCACCCAATTGTGATCCCCCCAATCTCCAATTACCCAATTGGAGATTCCGGAGATCCCAATGGGGATTCCCTCCAATTCCCCCTTCATCCATTCACTCTCACCTTGCCATGTACTTATAGAGCCTTGGGCTCCTTACCTAATCAACCATTTCAACTCTATTTCTTACATCCTACGCCTGACGCAGCAGGGGAAGCAAAGCTACTCAACGGTGCAACACCTAAACTAGAGTACACAGGGTAATAAGATCCAGCAACACTAGCAGCGTCAGAATACAAGGCATGCAAAGCAGCACCTATCTGATATATATCTAACTCAAAGATCGGCACGCCCTGGCGGAGCAGGCTGTGCCAGTAAGGGAGGTCCGGGGCCGGGCCAAAGCGACGACGAAACAGATCGTCGAGGCGGCGGAAACAGCGGGCAGTCGGGTGCGGGCGGCGGCACAGAGTGCCGCGAAGGGGCCCGGTCTGAAGCTGGTACTGACAGGTCACAGCACCGGAGCCGCTGGTAGACGCCAAGCTGCGCGGGCCGCCACCATTGCCACCACCTCCTGAGGTGCCGGGCCAACCAGGCGGGAGGCGAGCCCACTGCTGCGGGGGCTGCGGCTGGGACGGCGGCTGCTGCTGGGACGAAGGCTGCGGCGCGGGCTGCTCCTTCTGTGGCTGGAGCTGCTTCTCCTGACCACCAATGCTAGTCCCCCCAGACGGACTACTCTCACGACCACCAACACCACTACCTGCGCCACCACCCCTACCACCCTGGCAACCACGGCCACCGCGGCGCGAGCGCTGCTGCGGGTGGACCGCACCAGCCGTCTCAGTGAGGGGGGTTGCCGTGGCGACCGCAGCCGAAACATCAGTGAACGTGCACTGGGTGGGGGCACAGCCGTGAAAGATAGAGACTGCCGGTGCACCGCTCGACTGAGCGATAGTGCGCTGGCGAGTCTCGATCTCGGTGAGGGTGTCGACAAAGGCAGTGAGAGTGAGGTCAGCCGGGTGCAGGCTAAGGAAGTGATCGCGAGCACTAGCGAGGCGGTCTGGCAGGCGCATGGCGATAAAATAGAGCGTCATGCAGAAAGGGGGGGGGAGCGTAGTGAGCTGGGCAGCAGTGCTGGCAGTGCGATAGCGGGTCTCTAGGGCACGCAGGTGAGTGGCAAAGTCTGCGACGGTAGGGAAAGCTGCAAGGTCTGGGAAAAGCATAGGGAAGAGCAGGCGACCAGCAGAAGCAGACGCGGGTGTGGAATGGCGGGCAATAACAGCGTCTAAGTAAGCTTTGGCCATCTCAATGGTAGCAAAACGCGAGCGCTCAGAGACATTGAGGGCGTGGCTAATGGCAACTTGAGCGACTGCATCGCGGGAGTCCTAGACCGCACGGGCAAGCGCAGCAGTAGAGAAGGTCTCACGGTCATCAGAGGAGGGATCAGCAGGGAGGGGAGCAGGTGCAGGGGGGCGGGGGAGCAAGCCGTCGACATGGACAACCAAAGAGTGGCCATCCTGGCGCTGACCTGTAAGGTGGCGGCGGAGATCGGAGAGCCAGGCGGCGAAGTCAACCGCATGGCCCTCGGCGTCCAGTCGGAGCACGAAGTCCGCCATCATGCAGGGTCAGCGGCATAGCTCCACAGGAACACAGCGACGCAGGAACACAGCGACAGCCCCCTCTAGCACGGCGGTCGTGAAGCGCCTTAGCACAGGCGAGCAGAGGAGATGGAGCCCGAGGCGGCACGGCAGGACGAGCCGGGGCGAAGGGGCCAGGCAGGTGCGGTGGGGCCAGGCAGGTGCTGGCGGGGCCAGGCAGGCGCGGTGGGGCCAGGCAGGCGCGACGAGGCCAGGTAGCGCGGTGGGGCCAGGAAGGCGCGGTGGGTGCTAGGAGGCACGAGGGGCCCAGGAGGGGCGCGACGGGCTAGGAGGCGCGACAGGGGCCCAGGAGGGGCGCGAAGGGCTAGGAAGCGCGAAAGGGGCCCAGGAGGGGCGCGACGGGCTAGGAAGCACACGGGGCCCATGAGAGGTGCGACGGGGCCTAGGAGGCACGAGGGGCCCAGGAGGGGCACGACGGGCTAGGAGGCGCGGCAGGGCCCCAGGAGGGGCGCGACGGGCTAGGGGGCACGACAGGGGCCCAGGAGGGGCGCGACAGGTTAGGAGGCGCGACAGGGGCCCAGGAGGGGCGCGACAGGGCCTAGGAGGCGCGGCAGGGGCCCAGGAGGGGCGTGACGGGCTAGGAGGCGCGAGAGGGGCCCAGGAGGGGCGTGACGGGCTAGGAGGCACGATAGGGGCCCAAGAGGGGCGCGACAGGGCCTAGGAGGCACGGCAGGGGCCCAGGAGGGGCGCGACGGGGCCTAGGTGAGGGCGGCGCGACGGGGCCTAGGTGAACGCCCGACGGGGCCTAGGAGGCACGGGCGGAAGCGGTAGGTGGGGGGGGGTCGAACCTACGGGTGATACCATGTCGAGAAGAAAACTGAAACAAGTGTTGAATAGAGAGAGAGAACAAGGGTATATACCTAAGAGTGTTGTACCCTCTAAGAGGTGACCCTATACAGTCTATACAAATATGAGTTATACATATATTTGACAGAGCAAACCAGGGCGGCACTACTAGTCCGACCACTGGAAGAGCAGCCACAAGGCCAGTCTGGAAGGTATAAATCTAGAGGAGTACACAATCAAGGTCCTAGCAAGTGAGAGTCTACAGGAACTAGACCAAGCTGCAAGCAGCGCCGCCGATGATGTTTAGGCGGAAGCGCCTTAGTAAAGATCAGCTGTGTTGGCACCAGAGCCCAAGTGTACTACGCGGGCCTGGCGACGCTGCTGGAGCTCGCGCAGGAGGAAGTACCGTAGTGTTAGAAGACTAACTTAGCTAGGAAGAAAGGGGGCCATGAAATGGCGAGAGGTTAAGGAGCTACGTGGGTCCGTTGGGACCGACGCGGGACCGTTGGGACCGTTGGGTCCGTTGGGACCGACGCGGCGAGCTGGGTCCGACGCCGCGAGCAGGGTCCGACACGATTAGCTGAGGAGACGCGGCGAGCTGGAGTGCGGGCTTGCTGCCTAGTGCCTAAACCAGTGCGCAGCCCACTGCTGCCCGTGCGCTGACGCGACAACGGCGGCACGACGGCACGACGGAGCCACGACAAAGCCGCTGCGTCGAGGCTGCCACGGCAGCATGACAAAGCCGCCATGGCAGCACGACACGGCCGCCACGGCGACGTGACGGGGCCGGCACGGAGTGACGGGGCCAGCGCAAAGTGACGGGGCCGGCGCGAAGTGACGGGGCCGGCGCGGCGAGACGGGGCTAGCGCGGCGTGACGGGGCCAGCGCGGAGTGACGGGGCCGGCACGGCGTGACGGGGCCGGCGCGGAGGGACGGGGCCAGCGCGGCGTGACGGGGCCAGCGCAGCGTGACGGGGCCGGCGCAGCGAGACGGGGCCAGCGCGGAGTGACGGGGCCAGCGCGGCATGACGAGACCAGCGCGGGGGGGGGGGGGAGTACGCTGCGGAAGCGTGAGGAGAAGGCCCGAGCGAAAGGGGCCTGCTCTGAAACCATGTTAAGACTAGAAAGAATGGTAGCTAGGAGTAGGAGAAGCCATGGAATGGTTTGAGGTTTTAGGTTAGGAAAGATGAGGAGAGAAAATAGGGTAAGGTTAGAGAGGGATACAAGGAGGGAGTTGTACCCTCTACAGTAGTTTCCAGTAAGTAGCACAACTACCAAGCCTACAATTATATAAAATATATGATTTAACACACCCCCTAGGCTTGGTAGTGGCAAGCCCATCCCACTCCAAGCACCCCATTTCCTTGCACCCCCATTCCCTGCAGCAGCAGTGGCGCCGACCAGCCGATCGACCCCTCGGCGATCGAGGTGGCGACGGCGACGGCGGGCCGCAGCGGCGGCGGCGGCGTCGAGGCACCTGGCGACGGCGGCTGCGACACCCGAGGCAACGGCGGCATGCTCAACCTGCAGCAGAGGTGACTGGAGGGAAGGAAGGCGCTAGGCATCCTTGAGCTGCGGGGAGCTGGAGAGCGGGGGCTTGGTGCCTGGTGCCTAAACCAGTGCGCGACCCACTGCCGCCCGTGCACTAACGTCGACGGCGCCATCACGGCTTGACGTCGGCGCCACGACGGCGCAACGCCACGGCATCGCGTTGTGACGGCCGCGGCAGCACGACGCAGCCGGCGGCACGACGACGCGGCACCAGCAGCACGACGCGGCCACCATGGCAGCGAGAGAGAGAGAGAGAGAGAGAGAGAGAGAGAGAGAGAGAGAGAGAGAGAGAGAGAGAGAGAGAGAGAGAGAGAGAGAGAGAGAGAGAGAGTGAGAGAGAGAGAGAGAGAGAGAGAGAGAGAGAGAGAGAGAGAGAGAGAGAGAGAGAGAGAGAGAGAGAGAGAGAGTAGAAGAGCGCGACGGAAGCGTGAGGAGCAGGCCCACAAGGAACGAACAGCTCTGATTCCATGTTAGAAGACGAACTTAGCTAGGAAGAAAGGGGGCCATGGAATGGCGACAGGTTTAGGAGCTAGGAGCTAGGAGAGAAAGTTGACGAGAGGAAAAAGTGAAGAGACTAGGAAGAGAGAGGCATACAAGGAGGGAGTTGTACCCTCTACAGCAGAGTTCGGTAACCTACCAAGCCTACCAATTATATAGCACAATATATAATTTAACACGTAACTGGATGTGCTTCGCTCTGCCCTCAAGTCGAGGATCTGACACAGGAGGATCATGGCCCTGTTGTCAGCATATAGGACCGGGGCAGAGCTAGGCCGCTCCCCTAAGTTGGCGAGAAAGAACGTCAGCTAGCGGAGCTCCTGTGCCGCCATGGCACCGGCGTAGATCTCAGCCTCATAGCTAAACTGGGCAACAGACGAGGAGCGAGTGGACCTCCACGAGATGGCACCTGAACCAAGGCTAAAGCAGTAGCCCTGGGAGGACATGAGGGTCTCAACATTGTCTGCCCAAGTTGCGTCTGTGTGCCTAGTAAGGACCACTGGCCTACGTCCTCCTAGGACTAGCCCCATGCCCGATGTACTCGCAAGATAACGCAAAACTTGTCAAACACATTTGTGTGTGATGTTGTAGACCATATAGGGTTGTGCCTTAGAGAGTACAGCCCCCTAGGCTATAATGCCTTGTACTCTCACATTCTAGTCATTCTTTCAGTTTGATATGGTATCAGAGCCCGAAGGAACCGCCGGACAGAGAAGGGTGGTGGAGCTACGGGCGACTACCAGACCTAAGGAGGGGTCGGCACGGGAAACTGCGGCGGGAGCGGCAAGCGGCGTCAGCGTAGAGGAGTCGCGAAAGAAACACCGGGAAGTACCAGAGTCCAGGGTAAAGGAGGGCACAGCAATGGTGGTCGGGGTCGGAGTGGCGAGGGAGGAGCCAAGACTAAACAAGGAAGGGGATCCTACGCCTGACGTAGCAGGGGAGGCCGGACTAGGCACACCTACACTAGGCAACAAGGGGTAGTAGGAACCGGTCACACTAGAGTCATCGACATATAGCACATACCAAGCAGAGCTAATCTCATCCATGTCCATATCAAAGATCTGAACACTACGGCGAAGCAAGCTGTGCCAGTCGGGGAGGTCAGGCGACGAGCCGAAGCGAAGTCGAAATAAGTCGTCCAGGCGACGAAAACAGTGGGCGGGGGTGTGACCGATCTTACCGCACACGGAGCCGCGGCGAGGACCAGTCTAGAGCTGGTACCGACAAAGCCCTGTTGGCAGCAGGGGGGTCAAGGCAGAGGATCGTACCGTCGAGGTGGACGGCCAAGGAGTGGCCGTCCTGCCGCTGACCAATGAGGTGACTGCGGAGGTCGACGAGCCACGTGTCGAACTCGACCGGCTGACCCTCCGCGTTGAAGCGCAGCACCAAGTCCGCCATCAGGGTCGGTGCGGCGGCAGAACGGTAGGGCAGTACAGTGCAGTGCGGTGCAGTGCGTGCAGTGCGGTACAGTACGGTGCAATGCGGTGCAAGGCGGTGCAGTGCGGTGCGGGGTCAGCGCGGGCCAGTTGGAAGGCGAGGCCGGCTGGGCGACGGGGCCGACGCGGCGACAGGGTCGGCTAGGTGACGGGCCAGCCACCTGGCAGAGTCGGCTCGGCGTGGTCGGCTACACGACGGGGTCGGATTCGGGACAGGGTCGGCAATGGGACGGGGCCGGCTGCAGGACGGGGCCGACTAGGGGAACGGGCCGGCGGCGGGACGGGGCCGGCTACGGGGACGGGGCCGCGGGTCGACGGGGCTGAGGGGCCGCTAGGGGACGGGGCCGCGGGGCCGCTGGTCTACCTTTGTGCTGCTCTTAGCGGCCGACTAGTGCTGGGGTCGGTGTCTGCCTGTGGCCGCAAAGCGAGCCACGATGCTGAGAGGGTATGCAAGATCTGGACGAGTGCAAGTCATCAGACACATGAGGCAACCCACCAACTCTGCATAAGGACCATTGGGCTCTGCTGAATCCTCAAGAACTGGAGCCGAGAGCCTGTGGTCTATTGGCAGAGGTGTGGGCTGCGCGGAGGAGAACTGAAGACTGAACCTTTGAAGGACCTGGCGCACCAAGTGTGACTGTGTGAGAGTGATGGTGCGTGATGCTCTGTCCCTGGAGATCTGCAAGCCAATGTAGCGGCGCAGCTCTCCTAGGTCAGTGCAGGTGTGTCTCCTCAGCAGCTCAGCCTTTACGGAGGCTAGTACGTCTCTATGAAGACAAGGATGTAGAACGGAGTCTGGCCAGCACGAACGAAGAGCAAGGGGTCTGCAGAGGACGGAAAGAACTGCAGGTCAGCCAGAGTGGCATGCTGCGTGTCGTGCCACTCATGGGGCGCCTGGCGCAGGCCGTAGACCAAGCGCCGGAGAAGCCACTGGGTCCAAGGAGGGAAGGTACCAGTAAAGCCCTGAGGACCGCGCAGGTAGACCTGCTCAAATAGGCTGCCCTGAAGAAAAGCAGTGGAGAAGTCGAGGGAGTGAAGCTCGTAGTCACGCTGTGCTCCTACGTGTAGCAGTGCCCGAAGAGTAGTCATCTTCGGGGTCGGTGCGAAGGTCTGAAAGAAGTCCACCCCCTCGCGCTGACTGAAGCCTCGAGCCACGTAGCGCGCCTTGAACACAGGCTGCTCTCCAGGAGGGCGCTTCACCTTGAAGAGCCACCAGCCATCGACTACATTCACCCCAGGTGGGGGAACTGCGTCGATGTAGGTGCCGGTGGATCTCCAAGAGGCCATCTCCTGCTCCATGGCAGCTATCCACTGAGAGGCCCAAGTTCCCGAGGTGGCCTCAGCGTAAGTGCGAGGAGTCAGAATGTCTAAGGCTGCTGCTGCGACGGCGGCGGCTGCGGCGGTGGCGGCGGCGGCTTCGGCGGTGGCGACGGCTGCTGCGGCGGCAGCGGCTATGACGGCGGAGAGGGAGACACCGTGGGGAAGACAGGTGGCGGGAGCTATGCCGCAGGGCCACCAGAGTCAGCCGACTCCTCGACCGGGGCAACTGACGGGGGGGGAGTGACGTGAGACACACCAGACGGAGCAGGACTGGGAGGTAGGGGAGCAGGGTCGACTGGGGGAATGGGGACCAGTAACAGTAGGGGGGGGGTGGGAGACCTCGGTGGGGAAAGCGGTGGTAAAAGGAGACCGAATCATCAAAGGTGACGTCACGGGTGTGAAGGAAGCGATGAGACAGTGGGTGGTAAATGTGCCAGTCAGATGAGTCCGGGGGAAACTGAGGAAGACATAGAGGACAGTGCGGGCAGTGAGCTTGTCCGTGCAGAAGGCACGGACGTTTGCACGGCAGCCCCAGACGTGGAACGCGGACGCGTCACCAGGGAACCCGGTCCAAAGAGGGTCGGCAAAACCTGCGGCCGCTGGGAGTGCGTCCAGAGGTTAAGCTGGTTAGCGGCGTAGCGACCAGCGAACGGCCACAGAAAATGGGGTGCACTGGCATGAATCATGGGTTGCTCAGTGACCCCATTTTGCTTCGGGGAGTCCGGTAAGGAGTACGACTGGGTGATGCCCTCCGCATGACAGAACTGTCCAAGCCGACCAGAGGCGAACTCGCCATCACGGTCGGAGTGAAGACACAGCACAGGGAGACCGCGGTGAAGGCGGGCAACCACTACCCACGGGATAAGAATGTCAGGCACGTCGTCCTTTCGCTCCAAAGGAAAGACCGTGGTGTAGCGTGTGTTGTCGGTCCGGGGACGGGGGCTAGGCCCCAGACGTCCAGGTTCAGGGTCTGAAGGGGTGCGGTGGAAGGACGAAGCAAGGAGGAGTGAGTAGCATGGCGCAGCCGGCCCTCGACGCAGGGCGTACATGGTGGCACGGGCGAGGGAGGGAGGGACGGAAGCAATGCAGGGAGACCTAGGACAAGACCGTGCTGAGACGTGTGAGGCAGGCGCGGGAGTGCGAGGTGACCTAGGCAGTGGTGCCACAGAAGCGACGGGTGAGTGAGCGACCGACACGAGCAAGCCGCGGCGACGTGGGTAGACGCAGAGCCCGGGGAGGACGGGCCAACCGAAGGGGGAGCAGTGTCCAGCGTAAACAGGCCAGACACCGGGTCCCGAGAGAACGTCGCAAGGGGGAAACCTGTTGCGGCCTCGGTAGAGACAGCGTACGGCTCGTAACCAGGAAACGTAGTGGTGACACCGAGGTCTTGAAGACAGCCGACACCAACTAAGTTCCTGGAGAACTAGGGGATGTGGAGGCCTGTAAGGGAGCCCGAGGGGACCGCGGGACAGGGGAGGGTAGTGTAGCTGCGAGCAACGAAAGGACCAGATGAGGGGTCAGCAATTGCGACAGCGGCAGGCGCGGCAAGCGGCGTGAGTGCGGTGTGGTCGCGGAAGAAGCAGGCGGACACACCGGAGTCAAGTGTGAAGGACAGCGAAGCAGTAGCAGCAGACAAAGGAGGAGCGAGTGTGGAGCCTAGGCTAGACAAAGCAAAAGGTCCTATGCCTGACGCAGTAGGGGAGTCTATACTATACACAGGTGCTACTCCTAAGCCAGAGAACACAGGGTAATAAGATCCGGACACACTAGAAGCGTCAGCATACAGAGAATGCAAGGCAGAACTAATCTGATCCATGTCTAAGTCAAAAACAGGCACACCGTGGCGCAGCAAGCTGGGCCAGTCAGGGAGGTCTGGAGCCGGGCCGAAGCGGCGACGAAAGAGGTCGTCGAGGCTGCGGAAGTAGCGGGCGGTCGGGTGCGGGCGGCGACAGAAAGTGCCATGGAGGGGCCCGATCTGGAGCTGGTACTGACAGCCCGCTGCACCAAAGCCGCTGGTAGACACTGAGCTGCGAGGACCGCCACCTCGGCCACCACCTCCAGGGGCTCCCGGCCAGCCTGGGGGGAGGCGGGCCCACGGCAGCTGCTGCTGCTGCGACTATTGCTGCTACTGCTTCTGCGGCTGCTACTGCTCCTGGACACCTGCCCCAGCCCCCTCATCAGAACCACTGTCGCCGCCGCCACCACCACCACGCCCTCCCTTGGGGCCGCGACGGCCCCGACGCTGGCA